TATTATAGTTGCCCATCAGAAAATGATTTCTTTTTCTTTTATCTGATTGAACAAGTGTTTTGAGGAAAAGGAAATGGATGGCAGTGAATTCAAGTATGCTCTGTCCGTCTCAGAGAAATCTTTAGCAGGTGGCCAGGGAGAGAAAACACCAAAATCCACTTCTGTCCCTATTCCCACTCCCTCAGCAATCCAGGTCACATGAAATATTCTCATTCCCAACAACTATCTTTTCTTGTTCTCAGCTGCTAAGAATGTTATAAAGTCCACTTGTGTCATCTGCCACGCTGCTTTAACAGTGGGGTCATTGGCCTTCTCCACGGAGTCATTAATTGTTTCCAGCTGTTACTGGACCAGAATCAAATCCGCCTTTGCCTGCTCCTTCCTTTGTGCCAACAGTGCTGGTTTGTCACCAGGCTGGCTGAAGACCTAGCTTAACCCCGTTGCCTGTCTCTGCTTCATACTGAGCTCCGTGTACAGAGCAGCTCTTCTGGGAGGGTTGCCTTGTAGTGTTTTGATCTTCAGAGCATTAGTGGAAACCTGTGCTTTCTCTGGGTGAACTGGAGAAGACCTGGACTGGGAAGCAGCAGACCTGGGTTCTGGAGCTGGTGTTATTTACTCCATAATCATGCGCTGGCAGATTCTTTTACCTTTCCTGAGCCTTAGTTTTTCACAGGGAAATGTGATGGATGTGCCTTTGAAAATACAATAGTATTGGGATATGCTAAAGTGATTACTGTATTGGTGATTTTTGCAAGGTTTGTCTGAGAAAGCTCCAGTATGACAATCAGTTTGTATGGTTTCTTCTAATAGCTGAACAGATCCTATAAGCAGAAGGCTAATAATGGAAACTTCTTCAAACGACCATCTTTTCGCCCAGCTGGTGTGGTTCAGTGGTTGAGTGCCGATCCGTGAACCAGGATATCATCAGTTTGATTCCAGGTTTGGGCTCGATCCCTGGCAGGGGGCATGAAGGAGACAGCTGATAGATGTTTCTATGTATTTCTGCCTCTCCCTCCCCCTCTCTCTAAAAACAAACAAATAAATAAAAATACAAAAAAAATGACTATAGTGTCATTATAGCTTATCTTTTTTTTAAAATATATTTTATTGATTTTGTACAGAGAGGAAGGGAGAGAGATAGTTAGAAACATGGATGAGAGAGAGTCATCGATCAGCTGCCTCCTGCACAACCCTCACTGGGGATGTGCCCGCAACCAAGGTACATGCCCTGGACCGGAATCGAACCCGGGACCCTTCAGTCCCCAAGCCGATGCTCTATCCATTGAGCCAAACCGGTTTCAGCTCTTTTTTTTTTTTTTTAATTCTCACCTGAGGATATGTTTATTGACTTTAAGAGAGTAAGAGAGAGAGAAAGAGAGAGAGATTGAAAGAAAGAAATCAATGTGAGAGAGAAACATCCAGCTGTTGTCTCCCATACATGCCCCGACCAGGGATTGAACTTAGTGTGCCACGCTGTTTTCCTATGTGGAATGGGTAAAGTGAACATATATGATTAAATCTCAGTGTCTGTCTTCCAGTTTTGATATAAGTCGATAGCCAGTAAACTGCTATTTAGTGAATGGATAATTACTTCTTGCTACCTTTAAAAAAAATTATATATATATATATATATATATATATATATATATATATATTCCAGTGCATGGATTTCTGCACATTGAAAGGAAATTACTTAGAAGGTGGCCTGCAGGGTGGGTCTGGGTGAGATGGGCTGGACACACCCTGGAGCCAACCTCCCTTGGTCCCTCCCCTGGGGCGGGACTGGGGCTTGAAGGGCATCTGTGGAGTGAGGGGGATCCCTCCAGCAGGTGGGGTCCCTCGGCCTGGCTGTGGGGATCGGGCTGAAACTGGCAGTCCAACATACCCCGAAGGATCCCAGGGTTCGAGAGGGCACTCTGAAAAGTTGCTGTTGCTCAGCAGCTCCTGTGTTGAGCGTCTGCCCCTGGGTGGTCAGTGTGCATTATAGCTACCAGGTGTCGGCCAATTTATCCTTTTATATATATAGATATAGATATATTTTACTTTTTAAATTGATTTCAGAGAGGAAGAGAGAGAAACATCGTGATAAGACAGAATCATTGATCAGCTGCCTTCTGCACAACCCACACGGGGATCGAGCCCATGATCCAGGCATGTGCCCTGACTGGGAATTAAATCACCTCTTCGTTCATAGGTCAATGCTCAACCACTGAGTCACACCAGCTGGGCTTTCTTCTCATTTTCACCTGAAAATGTAATACACTTTATTTACTTTTGCACATTGCTCTTTCTTTCCCTTTACTTTCATTTGGCTAAGACTGTCTTATTTACTTGATTTGTTTCTGAAGGATCATATGAGAATATTAATGATAGATTTCTAAGGACTTTTCTATAATAGAGCTATACTTTCAATGATTTGGTCTAGTCTTCAGAATAGTCAGTGGAGGTAATCAATTACAACTTTTTCTCTTTGCCATCCTCTGGCATTTCTGGGTTAGCTGAGGTGCTGTACTAAATGTATTGTGGAAAAGAAGGGAACAATATATGCTCTGTTTGCTGATCATTAATACATTCATGCTAAAATTTTAATTAGGTAATTAACTTTTAAAAATCTAGAAGCATAGTACTTGAGTACTTAGAAAATATAACTGTTGTGTTAGAATCCACCTCTCTTTTGAGTAAACTAGCATACTATTGCTAATTCTTAATTTTACCCATTTAAAAAGATAGGACCAATAGTATGAGTAACCCTAGATATAGGTTTATTTCCACAAAGATCAATTAAAATTTTTTTCCCCATTGTTGTTTTTTCCCCCCCAGAGAAAGTGGGAGGGAGGGTAGAGACGGGGAGAGTGAGGGAAACACTAATGTGAGAGAGACACATCAACTGGTTGCCTCCTGCATGTGTCCCTGGACCCGCAACCAGGTACGCGCCCTTGATTGGGATTTGACCGATGACCCTCCTGTGCACAGGCTGATGCTCTGAACACTGAGCCATATGGGCTAGGGTCAATTTAAACTTTTAATTGGAATATGTAGAAATGTGCTCACAGATCATAATGTGTACAGCATAGTGTCTTTCACAGACTGAAACCTCTGTGTAACTAGCACTCAGATCAAGAAACAAAACATTAACAGTCTCCTCCAAAGTTTCCTATGTATCCCTTTCCAGTGAATAACCCTCATAAAAGTAACCATTATATCTATTTTTATCTACTTTATTTTAAAGGACATTTACATTAATTATGTCTTACTAAATTAACATTAATTTGCGATCCCCTGATCCCAGGCCAGTTAACCTTGGGCCAAAATTGGAGGGGAGGAGAAAGATAGGCATGAATACATGAAAGCATGTAGGATAGAAGGGAAAAGATACCTTAATTAAAAGTTTGTCATGCCCTGGTCACTGTGTACAATGGTTAGAGCACCCATTCCCTAAAGGGTCTCGGGTTTGATTCCCGGTCAAGGGCACATACCTGGACTGCAGGTTTGATGCCCCACGTTGGTCAGGGCAATTTTGGGAGGCAACCAATGGATGTGTCTCTCGATCGATATTTCTCTCCCCCTCTCTCTCCTCTACCCCCCAACCCCCACTCTCCCTAAAATTCAGTTTTCTGGAAAAAATATCCTCAGGTGAGGATTAACAACACCAAAAAAAACTGGTCATGATTTGAGTGAGCCAAATATAGGTAGCTAAGGGATAATTTGAACTTGATATCTTTATTAGGAGAAAAAGTTACTTTAATATGTTTTTTATGAAAAATCATTATAATAAAAATAGTGGAGAATTTAGGGAGTAGAGGATCCTGAAAAGTGAAAATGAAACCAGATGTTGATTTTGACAAAATTGCTTTCATGTAAATATGTACATGGTAACGTTATTAGATACTGTATATGAATTAGAGTTCTGCTTAGGTTTGCAAACAGATCTTTTCCCTTTTACATTTCTGAAGACTTTCTGTGAAGAGGAAAGTTAAAGAATTGGCTGATGGAGATTAAGGTGAACAGGCAGAGAGGAATGTGTCCCTTGGAAGGGATGAACTCTGGGACAGAGTGATACATGTAAAGAAAGCTGTACTTGAATATAAAGGAGAGACTTGAGGCTGGGAGTCAGAAGTCTTTTATTTTTGTCTTGGTCTGACCAATTGTGATTTTTAACCAAGTCACTGAACTTCAGCCCCTTCTGCTTTTTAAAAATATGTATGTGTGTTTTTAAAAAATGTGATTTTATTAATTTTAGGGAGAGGGATAGAGAGAGAGAAACATTGATCAGCTGCCTCCTATATGCCTCGAGCCCATAACCCAGGCATATACCCTGATGGGAATTGAACTAGTGACCTCATAGTTCATGGATTAATGCTTAAGCATTGAGCCACCCCAGCCGGGCATAAAAATGTATGTTGCCCTGGTTTTGCCCAGTGGTGAGAGTGTCGACCCACAGACAGAAGGGCCCCAGGTTTTAGTTTTTGTTTTTTAAATATACTTTATTGATTTTTTAATAGAGAGTTAGAAACATCGATGAGAAACATCAATCAGCTGCCTCCTGCACACCCCCTATTGGGGATGTGCCTGCCATTACCTCCCCCCCTCCAAAAAAAAAAGGGAACCTAGCTGGTTTGGCTCAGTGGATAGAGTATCGGCCTGTGGACTCCAGGGTCCCAGATTCGATTTCGGTCAAGGGCATGTACTTGAGTTTCAGGTGACATCCTGGCCCCGGTCAAAGCGTGTGCCAGCAGCAACCAGCTGATGTGTCTCTCTCAAATCAATCTTTCTCTCTCTTTTCCTCGGCCCCTCCCTACCTACCTTTTACTCTTTCAAAAAAAGCAATGGGAAAAATATCCTCAGATGAGGATTAACAAAAAAATAAAAATTATCAGTTGAAGGTCACGGCAAATGAATAAATGTGTGCTTATAGATTGGTCTTTTAAGTACTTGATTGATGTGAATGGATGTACGAGGATTTGACCAACTCTGGGTAACCTGATAAAATCCTATTTCAGACCTAATCCAGGAGTCTGCAAGTGACAGCAGCCTGTGAGGTCCTTAGGAAGCTCAGACTGGAGGAGGACACATGAAAGAAAGGTTGGTTTGACCTAATGTAATTTATGAAAGTGTTTAAAAATAAAAGTGTAATTGTAATGCACAAAGGATTGCTTTCTTTCTCCCTTTTCAGAACCCCAAGAGACTTTGCTTTCTGTGAAAAGGTATTTCTGTATAGTTGCTCCAATGACAGAGTTGCCTGCACCCTTGTCCTACTTCCAGAATGCACAGATGTCGGAGGACAACCACCTGAGCAACATTGTACGTAGCCAGGTACATTGTCAGTCTCTGTAACTGCCTTTGTCAGACCGGATTCTCTGATCACCCTCCCTCACCTCCAAAAGATGCTGAGGGGGCTGAGCAGGTTTCTCTGTTTTACAACATTCACATATTTTCTGAACTTCAACTGACCACAAAGCATTGTTCCATTTCGTGCTGGGGACGCAAGGCTGTGTGAGGCATTGGTGTTGTATAGTACATCACTGGCTCAGATAGCACTGCATCCGTTGAAGCCTCTCCAACTTCCTCACCTATTTATTATTCTACCTTTCTTGCTCTTACTCTTCTATAAGTGAGTATATTTTACTTACTTTCATTTTTTTAGTACCTAGTATGGTTCCCGACAGTGCTCAGTAAATGTTCACGACGAAGTGCATGATGATGAATGCAAAGCTAAGTGTAGAAGTCCTAAGCTAGATCAAAGAAGAGAAGTAGGAACAGGTGTAATCTGTGGCATGGGACACAGAGACCTCACTAGCTATATACAGAGACATCAAATCTGCCTGTGACCGTTAGCTAATCGTTACAGATTGAAGGTGGTTTCCACAGAGGACCTATGAGATGGTTGAGGAATTGGAATTTTTAGAGGCAGAGCCAGAATCGGGGGAAACACAAGGCCAACTATGAGCTAGGCGGGGTGCACGAGGACCAGGGAATCCGACTTCTCTCTATTTCAACCAGAGGACAGAACCACTGGTGGAAAATACCAGGAAATATTGTAGATGCTGGGTTAGTAAGAAGAATTTTCTCACAATTACTGTATGTCTGAAAGGGTTTGGGCTGCCTTGTAGGCCAGGGTGTGCTTGTCACTAAAAGCAGTCACAGAGGCCAGAAGACTACCAGTCACATCTGCAGAGGGTTTGCTGGGACCGTCTAGCAGACCCTGAGCAACGGATGAATAGATTACTCTGACACACGTTTCTGTGAAAGAGAGGCTAAGGGGCTGGTTGGTAGGAGGCACCAAAACAGCCCTGATTGCCTGCCTCCTTCGGCTTTTAATGTAATGACAGCTTGCAGGGTAAGTATCCTTGAGAAAGCACACGTTTCCACAAGGCCGGGTCTTGAAGACTAAACATAAGAGATACCAGCAAAACGCCTGGGGGCTCAGACTTGTTTGGAAACGACAAGGCAGGGGCTGCTGCCTTCGGCAAGGTCCCCTTAAGAGGCCCCCCAACCTTTCTCCTTACAGACTTTCCAACCAAGTCCTGTGCTTCCCCACAAGGGTTAGTCCATGGAATGAGCAGTGAACTAGAGCACTGCCTGGCCTGGAAGTTCCCTTCATACTCTGAAGATTTGGAATTCCAACTGAAGGCCAAAATGTGGGGAGGATGGCTTCACAAAGTAGACTTTGCAGGATGCATAGGCTTAGAATAGTGAAAACTGATAGATGCAGTAACTCTAGGGGAGGGAGAATTTTTCTAAAATATAAATTGACAAGGAGGCTATATCCTCAGAGAACATCAACAGAGGTAGATCACATTATATTGCTTGAATATGATTAATTAAGTGAAATCAAGTTAAAATGAATATGTAAGGAAGCCCTGAAAGGGAACACAAGCTATCACCGTGTAGTATGTAGCCTCAGAGGTGTGTGTGGAGCGGGATGGGGGCACTTTGCCCTCGTGCCTTGGTCTGGGTTGATAAAGCGGTGTTACAGAGACTGATTTTTGTGGCAGCACATTTGTTCCTCTACTCTGGGTCAGCAGCATTTACTCTCTTTTTGCTATTCCCGATGAACAGCTTTTTGAAAAGTTAAGATGGGCCTGGATTATGAAGTTGTTTGGATGCAGGGTATGAACATTTGGATCCTACAGACTGTCCTCATTTGTAAACTTGAGAGGAGGGAGAGGGAAAGTGGGAAGAGCATAGTCAGGTTTCTAAGTACCTTTTCCTTATCTGTGTTACATATAATCTTCGGTGGATCCCTTGAACAAAAGATTCTATAACTAAAAAGTTTTGGAAAAAACACAGTTATATGTGACTCATTTGACCCAAACTTTCCAAAGGCATCTTGTTTCAGAATAAAATCTTGTCCTGAGGTTTTAATTTCACCCTCTCCATCCATATCATTTGTCTCTTAATCTCTTAGCACCTTCTTCCTCCCTCAGTGCTTCTTCAGCTCTGCCTCTGAGCCCTGGGTCATTCTCCCACTCTTCTCAGACGGCTAACTTCACTTCCTTCAGGTTTCCTCATGAGTCAGCTTATCAGTGAGGCCTTGCCTTCCTTGACTCCGATCCCTTTCCTGTACCCTTATGCTGCTTTACTTGTGTGTAGCTCTTACTATTATTTCTAGCATACAGTTTATTGGGGATTTTGTTTACCTGCCTCCCCCTGTGTAAGCTGCTTGAAGCCAGATATACAATCTCCTTTGTTCACTCTTGTTTCCCCAGCTTCAAGAACAATGTGTGATGTCCTGGCCAGTATGGCTCAGTTGGTTGGGTGTCATCCTGTGCATCAAAGGCTGCTGGCTCGATTCCCAGTCAGGGCATATGTCTGGTTTGCAGGCTCGATCCCTGGTCAGGGGCATGCAGAAGGCAGCTGATCACATCAATGTTTCTTTCTCCCTCTCTCTCTCTCTCTCTCTCTCTCTCTCTCTCTCTCTCTCTCAGGGGCATGCAGAAGGCAGCTGATCACATCAATGTTTCTCTCTCTCTCTCTCTTCTCTCTCTCTCTCTCTCTCTCTCTCTCTCTCTCTCTCTAAAAATCAATAAAAAATAACTTTAAAAAATATTTTTAAAATCTTTAAAAAGAACATTAGCAGCCCTGGCTGGTATTTCTCGATGGTTAGAGCTTTGCCCCACACACCAAAGGGTCTAGGGTTCGATTCCCAGTCAAGGGTATGTTATTTGGGCTGCAGGTTCAATCCTCGGCTTAGATTGAGGCTAGTGTGGGAGGCAGCTCATCAGTGTCTCTCTCTCTCTCACATCAATCTATGACTCACTTCCTCTCTACCTCTCTCCACTCTCTTTAAAAAAAAAAAATCAAATGGAAAAAAAAAATGCCCTTGGGTGAGGATTTAAAAAAAAAGAAAAAGAAAGAAAAGAAAAAAAATGTCTACAAGTAAGGATTCAACAACAACAGAACAGTGTGCGGCACTTAGTGAGCTCCCTGTTGTTAATGTAGTACTGTATTGTTTATATCCCTCACATTCACATTCAGGTTTTGTGAGGCTTTTATGGTATTACTAGAGGCCTGTGGATGAAAATTCATACCTTGGGGGATGAGGAGGGGAGCCCCTCAGCCCGGCCTGTGCCCTCTCACAGTCTGGGAGCCTCAGGGGATGTCTTACTGATGGCTCAGGGAGTGGGCCTAGGCCACAGTCTGGCCTCCCTCTGTGGGAGGCGACCAGGCAGGCGGATCAGGTGACATGCTGCCCGCATCACCCCGCCACTGCGTCTGGTGGGGCCTCCCTCTGTGGGAGGTGACCTGGCAGCTAATTAAGCTGACGCCTACTGGTCACCACCGCTGGTCACTGCTGCCCCCCCCGCCCCCCATTGCTTCCCTCCCCCTCCCACCTCCTTGCTCACTAGCATGGTCCTTGGCTGGGCAGGCGCTGCCGGCTTGCCGGCCCCACCCCCTGCTGATTGGCCGGTCTGCCATTTGGTTGATTTGCATATTACCCTTTTATTATATAGGATTTTTCTGCCATTCTTTACACCTCAGTGACTGATAAAATATCCCTTTGAAATAAAAGGTGCTATAGAGGAGGTACAATTGACACAGGATTTTTATTGAAAATTACGTGTGTTCCTGGTTTAGTTTTAGCAAGTCTTAGTGCTAATGTTCTCAGTGGTACCTTTTAAGTCTGTTAGGGCACGACTGTCTATAACATTAGGGCCTGATTTGTTTAATTTTGACTCTGCTATTGATAGTATATTGTCAAATAAGTTTATGTTTTACTTATCTCCTTAAAAATGCATTCTTTAACTTAAAAATCTTAGTATATTTCATACTTTCCAGTTATCATGGGATCATTATTCCCATTTTACAGTTTCTTTTTTTAAAATATGTTTTTATTGATTTTAGAGCAGAAGGGAGAGGGTTAGATAGAAAGAAACATCAATGATCAGAAAGAATAATTAATCAGCTGCCTCCTGCTTGCCCCCCATGGGGATTGAGCCTGAAACCCAGGCATGTGCCTTTGACTGGAATTGAACCCGAGATCCTTCAGTCCATAGGCCAATGCTCTATCCACTGATTCTTTCCAAAAATCGGGACTGTTTTAAAAAATCGGGACTGTCCTGCCAAATGTGGGATGTCTGGTCACCTTAATATACTGGCATCTGATATATTAACAGAAACACATAGCATAACAAGGCTCAAAAAATTGCTCCCTATGTTCATGTTGTGGGGCAGAGATTAGGAGAACACTCACTTTCTATGTTATAAATACGTTTATAACTTAAAAGCTTTTGGAAACTTGTTTATAGTATTTCTTTTATTTACAGAAACAAACCTTTAAAAGGCAGGAAAACACAAGGTTCAAAAAGAAAACAGGCAGGCACTACACTGTATTAAGAATACCTTCACAAATGTTTGCTGCTTGAGAAATACTAGCCCTGCTTGAGGGTCCACATGCCTTGGGTGGCTGGACCTAAATTTGCATCAGGTTCCAGAGTAAGGGGAAGGGAAAAAGAATTAAAATGATGCCTCTGACGTAATGGTGTAGGAGCTCACTTCCCACGTACCACTTCCTGTAGGACCCCGCCCTCCCTGAAACGTACAGCATTTACATAGTGAGTAATCCTTCCCCACTCCACAGAAATGAAATCATTTATGATGGCTACGGAACTTTCTTTTTTAACCTTAAAAATATCCTTTATGGGTAAAACTATGGAGGCAGTAAAAAGATCCGTGGTTGCCAGGGTAGAGGATGAAAAGAGGGATAAATAGGCAGAGAACAGAGGATTCCTTTAAAGAAAACATTCTTTTTTTTAAATAGATCTCAGAGAAAGGAAGTGGGGGAGAGGGAGAGAGAGAGAGAAACATCAGTGTTTGGGAAACATCATTGGGATTGCCTCCTACATGTGTCCCAACTGGAGATCAAACCCAAAACCTGATATGTGCCCTGACCAGGAAGCTGGTGTACAGGATGACCTTCCAACCAACCGAGCCACAGGAACCAGGGCCAGAGAACAGGAGTTCAGGACAGTGAAGCTATTCTATTTGGCATGATGGATGCATGTTACACATTTTTCAAACACCAAGAGTGAACCCGTGGAGCTTCATTACATACTTCTGACAGTATTTCTTTTAATTTTTCCATAATAAAAAGTAGCGTTAGCCCTGACTGGTGTGGCTCAGAACATGTCTGTGCACTGAAAGGTGGTGGGTTTAATTCCCAATTGGGGCACATACCCAGGTTGTGGATTCCATCCCCATTCGGGACACATGCAGGAGGCAACTCAAACGATGTTACTCTCTCACATTCATGTTTCTCTCTTCCTCTCTCGTTAAAATAAGTAATAATAATAAACAACCTCAGGTGAGGATTAAAGTATACAACTTGAAACCATCACCACAGTCAAGATAATGGACATAATCATCACCCTCACACGTTTCCTCGTGCTCCTTTGTAATTTTCCCCTCCTGCCCCTCTCCAGCTACACCTATCCTTAGGTAATAACTAATCAACTTTTTGCCACTGAAGTTTTGGTTTCCTAGTATTTTATATAAATGAAATCATATGATATATACCCTTTTGTCTAGCTTTTTTTTTTTTTTTTTTAATTGATTTCAGAGAGGAAGGGAGTGGGGGGAGAGAGAGAGAGGGAGAGAGAGAGAAACATCAATGATGAGAGAATCATTGATCAGCTGCCTACTGGGGATCGAGCCTGCAACCCGGGCATGTGCCCTGCCTGGGAATCAAACCATGGTCTCCTGGATCACAGGTCAGTGCTCAACCACTGAGTCATCCTGACCAGCATATGTTTTTATTTATTTTGAGTAAATAAGAGTACAATATAATTCATATACCTAAGAGTAGAATATGATCCAAGAGTAGAGTTGTGTATTTGACTTTTAAAAAAATATATATATATTTTATTGATTTTCTACAGAGAGGAAGGGAGAGAGATAGAGAGCCAGAAACGTCGATGAGAGAGAAACATCGACCAGCTGCCTCCTGCACACCCCCCACCAGGGATGTGCCCACAACCAACGTACATGCCCTTGACCGGAATCAAACCTGGGACCTTTCAGTCTGCAGACTGACTCTCTACCGCTGAGCCAAACCGGTTTCGGCTGTATTTGACTTTTTAAAAAAATCTTAACTTGTATAGCCGAAACCAGTTTGGCTTAATGGAGAGAGTGTCGGCCTGCGGACTGAAAGGTCCCGGGTTCGATTCCGGTCAAGGCCATGTACCTTGGTTGCGGGCACGTCCCCAGTAGGGGGTGTGCAAGAGGCAACTGATCGATGATTCTCTCTCATTGATGTTTCTAACTTTCTATCCCTCTCTCTTCCTCTTTGTAAAAAATCAATAAAATATATTTTAAAAAGGAAAGAAAGCAAGCTAAGCCATAAGCAGCTTTTAAAAGATAAAAAAATTAAAAAAATCTTATAATCATTCTTAAATCCTTTTAAAAAAATATATTTCTTTATTGATTTTAGAGAGGAAGGGAGAGGGATAGATAGAAACATCAGTGATGAGAGAGAAACATTGATCGGTTGCCTATTGCACATCCTCTTCTGGGGACCAAACCTGCAACCCAGGCATGTGCCCTGAACGGGAATTGAACCAGTGAACTTTGGTTCATGGGTTGAAGTTCAACCTCTAAGCCACACCGGTATGCCATATATACTGTGTATTAATCTATATGTACATTGGGGTGCAACAGATCTCTAGAACCTTTTCAACTTGCAAAAATGACACTCTAGCCACAACCCCAACAACCACAGTTATACTTTCTGTTTTTTTTGAGTTGGACTACTTTATTTTTATTTTTTATTAAAAAATTTAATGTTGGCATTATTATAGGTGTCCTTCCTTCCCCGCCCTCTTTACTCACTCCACCCACAGAGTTGGACTACTTTCGATACTTTATATAAGTAGAATCATATACAGAGTCTTTTTTTTTTTTTTAAGTACAATTTCCATTTATTTTTCCCCCAAAGAACTTTTCTTCACTCTTTAAAGACTTGGCTCCTTACATGGGCTTTGGTGGAGGTCGTGGGGCAGCACCCGAAGGTCTAAATCGGGGTGGGGGTGTTCGGTCCTTCCGGGCTTCACAGGAAGGATTCCTGACTGCCTTGCTGTGAATGGCTCAGCTCAGTAACGCAGCTTGGGAAGCACATAGGCATCTAAGACACTCACTTCGGAGATGTTCCCAATGGCCGCGGCCTCTACTGTGTTTCAAATGACAAACTTCTTACTGGCCTTGTCCCTGGGAATGCACCAGGCACAGTTGGTGCAGCAAATAGGCTACACATGGCCTTGGCCTTTTTTGGCACAGCCGTTACTCCTTTTCTTGGTCATCTTGGAAAGGAGGACCCGAGAGAGCTACAGTGTCTTTTTGTAACTTGCATATTGCACTTAGTATTATGTTTTAGCATGTGACAAGATTTTCTTTTTTTTTTTTTAAGGCTGAGTAATATTCCACTTTGTATACACATTTTCTTTATCCACGTGTGGTTTTTAAAAAATATATGTTTTTATTGATTTTAGAGAGGAAAGGAGAGGGAGAGAGAGAGACATTAATGATGAGAATCATTGATTGGCTGCCTCCTACATGTTCCCTAGTGGGGATTGCGCCTGCAACCCGGGCATGTGCCCTTGACTAGAATCGAACCCGGGACCCTTCAGTCCCCAGGCTGGTGAGCTATTAACTGAGCCAGATTGCTAGGGCTCTTTATCCATGTATTCATGGACATTCGAGTTGCTTCCATCTCTTAGCTTTTATGAATAATGCTGCAGTGATCACAGGTATGCAGATACCTCTTTGGGATACTGACATCAGTTCTTTTGAATATATACCCAGAAATGGGGTTGCAGGATCATATGATAATTCTTTTTCTAGGAAACTCCATACTGTTTTATAGCATCTGCACTATTTTTGCATTCATAACCACAGTGCACAAGGGTCCCAAATTTTCTGCATCCTCACTAATGCTTGTTATTTTCTGTGTGTGTGTGTGTGTGTGTTTTATAGTAGCATTCCTAATGGGTATAAGATGGTATCTTATTATAATTTGATTTGCATTTCTCTAATGATTAGTAATGTTGAGCATCTTTTCAGATGCTTGTTAGCCATCCTTCCTATATAATAAAAGGCTAATGTGCAAATTGTCCCCACGGGCGGGAGTTTGACCAACCGGGAGTTTGACTTGTGCTGATCACCAGGGGGCAGCACGGAACATGGCAGGCATCAGCGTCGTGACACTGGCAGCAGGTGGCAATGGAGGTGCTGCCGGCCACAATGGGCCCCAACGAGAGCGGGACTACGGCACGATGGTGGAACAGGTGAGCGGGTGGCACCAGGCCCAGGCAGGTGCGAGTGGGGGCCCTAATTGCCCCACCAGTTGCCCCACAGATTGGCCCTCATTGCTGGCCAGGCCTAGGGACTCTACCTGTGCATGAATTCCGTGCACCAGGCCTCTAGTTTGTATATGTTCTTTGAAGAAATGTCTGTTGAAGACTTTTGCTTATTTTAACATTGGTTTGGCTTTTTGTTGTTGAGTTGTAGGTGTTCTTTATATATTTCAGATATTAACCTCTTATTAGAGATATGACTTACAAATATTTTTCTCCCCTTCCATGGTTGACTTCACTCTGTTGATTCTTTGATGCATAGAGGTTTTAAAATTTGATGTGGTTCCATATGTCTATTCTTGCTTTTGTTCTTTAATTTTTCTTAGCAGTATTTTGTAGTTTTCAGTGTACAGGTATATTTGGGATTCTCCAAGATTATGCTCAGGTTCAGTGTTCAGCTAGAAGGATTCACAGAACTCAGAAAAGCTGTTATATTCACTCTTCCAGTTTATTACAGTGAAAGGATACAGATTAAAACTAGCAACAGAAGAAGGAAAATAGAGCAGGGTCCAGGCACAAGCTTCCAGTTGTCCTCTCCAAGTGGAGTCATGGGAACAGTGTGACCACGTGCATGGAGTATTGCCAGCCAGGGAAGTGCACTTAGCCTTAATGTCCAGGAGTATTGTTGGATATCACATAGATATGGCTGACCGTATTCTCTAGCTCTTCCCAAAGTCAAGCAGATACCACATGGGCCAAGACTCCCACCATAGATCACATTGTCAACAGTGTGATCCAAGGCCTCATGTAAACAGAAACACTTTTCACAAGCAATATATTGAAAGGGTTTAGAGGTTATCTTCCAGGTACAAGGCCAGATCCTTCTTTGTCATGTGCAGGGTTTGGACACTCCTGACCTACTGAGTTAATCCTTTATTGTACAGTAAGCTTTTCACATCTTTTCATCCTTCAGATTTCAGAAAAGCATCTCATGTATTTTTTAAAATCCTCATCCGAGGATATGTGGTGGTCTTTGTTGGTTTGAGAGAAAGAGAAATAAATACCAATGTGAGAGAGAGATATTGCTTGGTTGCCTCCCGTACATGCCCCCACCATAGGAAGACTTTTTATTGTACACCTTTTTATACTCAGATTTCAGAACCATGTGAATGTTTTATCTGTTTAAATAAATAAATTGTACTTTAAAAATGAAATTAAAACATATAGTCAATTTAAAAAAAAATATACTTTATTGATTTTAACAGAGAGAATGGGAGAGAGAGAGAGAGAGAGCGCTAGAAACGTCGATGAGAGAGAAACATCGACCAGCTGCCTCTTGCACACCCCCTACCGGGGATGCCGGGGGTGTGCCCGCAACCAAGGTACATGCCCTGGACCGGAATCGAACCTGGGACCTTTTAGTCTGCAGACCGACGCTCTACCACTGAGCCAAACCGGCTTCGGCCATATAGTCAATTTTTAAAAATAGTTATGTGCCCTGACTGGGAATCAGACCAGCAACCTTTTGGTGCTTGGGACAATGTTTCAACCAACTGAGCCACCCAGCCAGGCCCCAAGTATTCTTTCTCATATCACCCTGGTATAGTACCATCCCACTGTGTTTGTTTATTATCTCTCTCTTAAAATCAGTTCATGAGAGCAGAAACCTTTTCTGTCTTGTTGGAATGCTATATTCTTGGCACCGAGTGCCTGGCATTCACTGATAGTTAATTAAGGACTTGTTGAAATAGGCACTCTTCCTATTTAAACTGATACAACTCATAGGGAGGGAAATTAGTATCTCTACTGATGAGTACTTTGACCCAGCAATTTTACTTAAGGGAATTTATCCTACAAATACGCCCCCACGTGTGAAATAAGTTAATAGGGAGCATTCTGATTGCAGCAGTGTTTGTAATGGCAAAAAGTTCAAAGCAGGTTAAATGTCAGTCTTTAGGGAATTGGCCTAATAAATTAATGACATTTTATATACTGGCTATATAGATGATTAAAAATTGTTTTTAAGAATAAGGATGTTCTGCCCTAGCCAGTTTGGCTCAGTGGACAGAGCATTGGCCTGCAGGCTGAAAGGTCCCAGGTTCCATTCCGGTCAGAGGCACATGCCCGGGTTGCAAGCTCAGTTCCAAGTGGCGGGGGCATGCCGTGGGGAGGGGGCTGCAGGAGACCACTGTTTGATGTTTCTCTCTTGCTGATGTTTTTCTCTCTCTCCCTCTCCTTTTCTCTCTAAAATCGATAAAAGCATTTAAAAAAGAAGAAATGGTATATTTGCATCTAACCTAAAAAAAAGAAGAAAAAAAGAATAAGGATGTTCTCTATGTAATGATGTAAAAAAATCTCTAGGATACATAGTTAAGCAAAGTGCAGGGCAGTGCATTTATTCAGCTACTACCATTTGTGTGAAAAGGGGTAATGAAGCTATGTATTATATTTGCTTGTATTTACATGAAGAAACTTTGATAGAATTTGCAGAGAACAATGACAGTGGTAACCTGAGGGATTGGGAAACTAAGTAGATAGTTAAGTGGGAGACTTTTTATTGTACACCTTTTCATACTCAGATTTCAGGGCCACGTGAATGTTTTATCTGTTTAAATAAATATTTGTACTTTAAAAAAATGAAATTAAAACATATAGTCAATTTTTAAAAATAGTATCCAAAGTACTGTGAAGAGGAAGTGTGTGTGTGTGTGTGTGTGTGTGTGTGTGTGTGTGTGTCTCAAACTGTTCTAGCTTCCCGTATCAGCTTCTGGGAGTGGGGCAGGGTGGGGTTGGCTAATGTTCTTTACAAACCAGAACATCCAGTTGAGTAATGTGAATGAGCATGTTATGATTGCCTCTTTCATGCTAGACTTACTCAGTTAAACTGTTCACATAGCCTAATGGGACAGTTGTAGTGTCATAGGAAGAACACAAATTTTGAAACAAGAAACTTGAATTTGACTCCTATCTCTGTTGATTTCTGGCTGTGAGATTTTTTTAGACAAGTTGCTTTATAGTTCACCTACTAACACTTCTCAGCATATAAAAAGAATGATTGAGATATATGAGAGTGCTTTGTACATTATCAAATGCCCATATAGTTATTATTAATTGCATTTTAGTATATTTTGTGCATAATTGACCTGTCAAGTTGGTCATAATTGTGTTGCTAAACATTAATCACAAATATAACGTCCTTAGCATATTTTTCTTTCCACAGCTGCTATTTTATATTAATGACCAATAAGTTCCTACTGTTCCTACTTTCCATCTATACTCTCTCCCTGAGAGTTCATTCATTTCCATAACTAGAAACTAATGACCTTTCCCAACTCTCTTCTGAGCTTGAAATTCTTATTAACTGCCTTTAGACTTTCCTGCCTGGGGTGAATACTTTACATTTACCTATCTCCCTCCTCCAGTCTGCTCATCTTGTGTTCCCATTCTCAGTTAGTGTCATAATCACCTTCCTAGTTTCTTATGCTAGAAACCTCCAGGGCCATCCTGACTCCTTCCTGACCATTCACAAAGCCCTTCAATTCTACTTCTGAAATGTGCCTCACACATCCCTGTTTTCCATCGCCACTCAGTCCGTTTCTTACAAATAAATCATAATCTGATATGTCACTTCCTCAACCTTGACAATTTTTATGACTTTCTATTGCCTACAGGACAAAGTCTAAAGTCGTTGGCAGGCAAACAAGGTCCTTTACAACCTTTCCCTACCTTTTCTCCCACCAGCCCTAACAGACTGTTCTCCAGTCACCTCTGGAATACTCAATGGTTGTCTGTGTGGCACTGTCACATGTCTGCGCCACAGTTCATGTGGTCTCTGCCTGGAGCCCACTTACCTTACAGTCACTCTTGAAGTTTCTGTTCAAAAATCGTATCTTTTATTTTGTCTTTTTTGACCACACAGAATTATAGTCCTTTAGCACTTTATTCTTATCTCTAATATAATGTTTTTATCTCTATATTAAAACTAACTTAGGAACTTCTTAAGGATAGCAAGCATCTAATTAACTTCTGTATTGCCACAGAAGAGTACCTGAAATACAGAATTTTCATAGTTACCTGTGGAATAAATAGTATTGAAAGTAATGTAAAAGAGAACTCAGCTCACAGTCTGCAGAGCTCTCATGTTGTCTTGTGAACAGCAAATTGAGGTGGGTAAGAACTTGATTTCTGGCCGAAACCGGTTTGGCTCAGTGGATGGAGCATCAGCCTTCAGAATGAAAGGTCCCGGGTTCGATTGGCTGCGGGCACATCCCCAGTAGGGGTGTGCAGGAGGCAGCTGATCGATGTTTTTCTCACATCGATGTTTCTAACTATCTCTCTCCCTTCCTCTCTGTAAAAAAATCAATAAAATATATTTTTTAAAAAGAAAAGAAAAAAAAGAACTTTATTTCTGAAGACAAGCGTATCTGGATTCAAACCCACTCTGGCTTGTAGCTGTTTCCTTACCTATAAAGTGGCGATGATGGAGTATCTATGAGAATTAAATGTAAAGTACATATCAATCCTTGGTACATTGTAGTTTTTTTTGTTTTTTTAATTTTGTGAGCCTGAAGTTTTTTGTTTGTTTTTTTCTAATATATTTATTGGTTTTTTATAGAGAAGAAGAGAGAGAGATAGAGAGAGCTAGAAACATCAATCAGCTGCCTCTTGCACACCCCCTACTGGGGATGTACCCGCAACCAAGGTGCATGCCCTTGACCGGAATCGAACCCGGGACCTTTCAGTCCACAGGCCAACGCTCTATCCACTGAGCCAAACCGGTCTTGGCTACATTGTAGTTTTAAGCTATTATTAAGTATGTAATGTATTTTTAATGAATAATGGTTATACTCTATTAGGTATATTTGTAGTCAGAAGTGAGGTGCAAGAATAGTATGTTTTCCTAAGAGAACCCTTTTTCAACCAAGCTGATTATATCCCAGCAACAGTGACTATCTTTTATCATTGAGAAGGGAGAAGAATATCTGTTATCTTTCCTGTTATCTATCACTAGAGGCCTGGTACATGAATTCATGCACAGGTGGGGTCCAGCGGCCTGCCGCAATGGGGCCGCCCAGGGGAGGGACTGAAGGAGGTTGGCTGGTTGGCTCCGCCCCCAATTGGGGTATTGCGGGCTGATCAGGGGCTGAGTGCCAATCATGGCCAGATCAGGTTGGTTGGCTGCCATGGTGTGTGTCATAGCCACGGGTCTTTTGAGTCATTCCGCCTTTCCAGTTGCTGGGTTTTATATATAGTGATCTTTATTATTGTTATTGTTAGTGCCCTTGAGATTCATTCTACCTTTTATAAAAACTGAGTTTAGATGTGAACAGGGATACCAAAAAGGAAATCAAACTTGAAGAATAAGAAAGTAGAAACCTAGGATAAGGATAAAAGTATTTGGTATTAAGAGCCCAAGGAAAATAGAATCTAAGAAAGGTTCTCCTTTCATTCCATAATTCAACAAGTATTATTGTCCCCCATTCTATTCAGGGCACAGTGGGACCAGGGCAAGGATATTATCATTGTTTAAGGCCTAGTTTCTCACTGTAAAGATTTTTTTTTTAAATTGCATACTTGAGATAGACTTACATGCAATTGTAAGAAATAATTACAGAGAGATCCCATATACATCAATACAGGATTTTAAGTCTTATTGGTAATGAGGTGAGATAGTTCTTTGTATAACTGGTATAAAACCACAGATAGAAAGCACTTCATGAATTGGAAGAGCTGGGATTTCTCTGCTTGAAGCTGCAGCAAATAAAGTATTCATATAGGTGTCAGTTTTAAGCCACACCTCAAAGGGCGAGTGTAATTGTATTAGGTTAGGAATGGAGCGAGAGAGTGAGGAAAGCCAAGACCCAGGTGAAAGGGAGGACCTGGGTTCCTTGAAGGAATTTGGTAAATAATCTAGATTTCTTAACTGCACACTTCTTTTAAATTGGTTTTCTTACCTCAGGTTTTTAGAACTCAGGTAATCGTGAGCCTGTTGTTAATCTCAGGTTTGACTGTTACATTTCCTGTTTTTGATATAGAATAACTTGTTTCTGCTGAGAGTCTGACATATTGAAAAAGTGTTTCTTTTGCTTTTAGAATGACAGTAGAGAACGACATGAGTACAGCAATGAAAGGCGGAGGCGGGGCAACCCTGAGCCCTTGTCTAATGGAGGACCCCAGGGTAACACACTGCAGGTGGTGGAACAAGAGGAAGAAGAAGATGAGGAGCTGACACTGAAATATGGCGCCAAGCATGTGATCATGCTCTTTGTCCCCGTGACTCTCTGTATGGTGGTGGTGGTGGCTACCATCAAATCAGTCAGCTTTTATACCCGGAAGGATGGACAGTTGTATGTATGAATGTTTTCTTTTATTATTCTCAAAGTCAGCATAGCTTTTCTTCATTTCATGCCATCATTATCTTGAAGGCCTCTGAAGAAGTATGAAGGCCAGAGAGTTTTTTCAGTCAGAAGCAATTGAGAGTGAGGAGTTATTTATTACTTGATGCTATAAGTAGAGAAAATGAAAGCTACAGAATTATATTTCCTGTATGCTGTCACTAAGACAGGGCTGAATTTATTTGTAATGAGCCAGTAAAGCATTAAACAGTAATCTTTCCCATCTCAGGGCCATTGAGCCCATTTTTCTTTGCCTAGAATGTTCTTTTTCTAATTAGGTGGATTAAGTCCTCTCATCCTTCTGATCTTGGCTTAAATGTTAAATCCAAATATAATGGCTCTGATCCTACTAATAAAACTAGTAGGATCTTATAGTTTCTTATAGAAACCTGTTCTTTTTCACTTGTAAAGATATGCAAATATAAATTTATTTACATGACTTATTCAACACCTGGTTTCCTTCTGTACCGTAAATCTTTTCAGAGCACTTTGTTTCCAGGATGAAGTGTGTAATAAAAGTTGTTAAATGAAAGGATGAAGAATTACTGCAAGCTGGCACTCTACTCTTGGGGAACTATTGTGTAGATTCTCTGGTGCTGTTGGTGTCAGCCCTTGATTCTTATGTCACCTAGTTCTGTCTCTAGGACCCTAGTGGGCTCAAACAAATTTTTAGTGTATTTTAGAATTTGAAAGTGGCAAGTATCTTAAAAAATTTATAGTGTTCTGAAAGGCAAGCTATTTTTTAAATTTATTTTTATTTTTTTTAAATATATTTTTATTGATTTCAGAGAGAAAGGAAGAGGGAGAGATAGAAGCATCCATGATGAGACAGAATCATGGATCGGTTGCCTCCTGCAAGTCCCCCACTGGGAATGGAGCCCACAACCTGGGCCTGTGCCCTTGGCTGGAATCGAACCTCGGACTTTTCTTTTTTCTTTTTTTAAAATATATTTTATTGATTTTTTTACAGAGAAGAGGAGAGAGGGATAAAGAGCTAGAAACGTTGATGAGAGAGAAACATCTACCAGCTGCCTCTTGCACACCCCCTACCGGGGATGTGCCCACAACCAAGGTACATGCCCTTGACCGGAATCGAACCTGGGACCTTTCAGTCTGCAGACAACGCTCTACCACTGAGCCAAACTGGTTTCGGCCAAACCTCGGACTTTTCATTTTCAGTTCGCAGGCCGACACTGTCCACTGAGCCAAACAAGCTAGGGCCAAGCTATTTTATTTATATATATATATATATATATATATATATATATATATATATATATATATATATATATATATATATAAATAAATTTTTTTTTAAATACAACTTCCATTTATTTTCCCCCAGAGAACTTTTCTTCACTCCTTAAAGACTTAGCTTCTTACATGGGCTTTGGTGGAGATCGTGGGGCAGCACCCACAGGCCTAAACCGGGGTGGGGGTGTTCAGTCCTTCAGGGCTTCACGAGATCGATTCCTGACTCCCTTGCTGTGAATGGCACAGCTCACACAGTTATGCAGCTTTACATACAGCTTGGGAACCACATAGGCGTCCAAGACACTGGCTTCGGAGATGTCCCTGATGGCCACGGCCTCCCCTATGTTTCGAATGACAAACTTCTTAATCGCCTTGTCCTTGGGCACGCACCGGGCACAGTTGGTGCAACGAATAGGCTGCACATGGCCACACCTTTTTTGGCACAGCCGTTATTCCTTCTTTTCTTGGTCATCTTGGAAACGAGGACCCGAGAGAGCCCAAGCTATTAATTTTTGAAAGAAAGACTATGACATTGAGTATCGGCAGATAATGGAGATAATAGCTAAAAGAGATTAAGTAATAGTCTCTGTATTAATTAGAGTTAGCTTGGCTACATATTATAGAACAGGGATTAGCAAGTCATAGTCCACAGAGCAGCTCTGCTTGTCACCTATTTTTGTAAATAAAGTTTTGTTGGAATACAACCATGCCCATTCTTTTATATATTGTCTCTGCCTGCTTTTATATATATGGTTGAAGCAAAGGCCACATCACCCACAAAACTTAAAATACATACTCTCTAGTCCTTTGCAGAAAGTTTGCTGATCCTAATATAGAAAATAATTCTGATTATAGAAAAATCCGATTATAGAAAATCAAAACAGCTGCTTTAAATAACGTACATGTTTTATCTCTCATGGAGTAGTGCAGAGGTGGTCAGTCAGTTTGGAATAGTGCTTCACATTTATCAAGGATTCAGGCTCCTTTCTTCTTTATTATACTCTAGGTTATTTCAGGGTCTATGCTCTTGGTCTGTGGTCGGCAAACTGGCTTGTGAGCCACATGCAGCTCTTCCACAAAATACCACGGCCTGGGCGAGTCTATTTTGAAGAAGTGGCTTTAGAAGAAGTTTTAAGTTTAAAAAAATTGGCTCTCTAAAGAAATTTCAATCGTTGTACTGTTGGTATTTGGCTCTGTTGACTAATGAGTTTGCCGATCACTGCTCTAGGTTATTAGGATGCTGGAGCCCTAGCCTTCATTCAAACAGCAGGAAGCAGGAAGGAGTAGAGGAAAAAAGAACATAAAACATCTCAGCAGAATTAACTCCTTTCTTAGAAGTTCCACACAATATAGTATCTGCTTATGACTTATTAGCCATTACTTAATCTCATGGCCACACCTGACTATAAGGGAATCAGAACTAAAGTCTTTTAGCTGGGAACATTGGCCCTAGAATAAAAATGTTTTTGTGTGAATGAGAAACAAGGGGGAAATGGATATGTGACATTATCTTAAGACAACCCCAGTTGCAATCTCCCTAAAGATGAAGGATAATAATTATAAGCCATATTACTTCCGCCGACTATTCCTTGTGTCCTCAGTAGTCCATGTGGCAAAATCTGGTTCTTTAGCAAGTCCTAAGAAGCAGTGGAGAAGGAATATTTGCTGAGGTAGTTATTTTAGGATATAGCATCCACTAGATGGAGTCAGGGTCTGGTTCACAACTCCTATATCTTAGATATCTTTTTTATTTTTGAAGCACTGTTTTTGACAGTAGCTATTTTTGTTAAGTTAAAACTTCTTGGCTAGGTTGATGAGATGGGCAAAAGTGATATATCATTTGAATCAGGGAAACAAAACTCATGTTGGAGAGAGTATATGGCTTGGTGTATCTATCCATTAACACTTATCTGAGGCTTTGTATTTTGTTTTGTTTTGTTATAGAATCTATACTCCATTCACAGAGGAGACCGAGACTGTGGGCCAGAGAGCCCTGCACTCAATTCTGAATGCTGCTATCATGATCAGCGTCATTGTTGTCATGACTATTCTCCTGGTGGCTCTATATAAATACAGGTGCTATAAGGTGAGCATGAGAGACAGAGCTTTGCTTTCCACCATATTCTTTTTATGATTGGGTTTTCTATCTATGCTTTACTTGGTCTAGTAAAGAAAAAGGTCTGAGCCCTGGCTGGTATGGCTTAGTGGTTGGAACAACAGCCTGCCAAGGGTCTCAGGTTCGATTCCTGGTCATGGACATAAACATGGTTACAGGTTCATTTCCAGCCACAGTCAGGAGCATGTGCGGGAGGCAATCAATCAATATGTCTGGGTATATATCCAGAAGAACTGATATCAGTATCCCAAAGAGGTATCTGCATACCCATGATCACTGCAGCATTATTCATAAGAGCTAAGAGATGGAAACAACTCGAATGTCCATGAATACATGGATAAAGAGCCCTAGCAATCTGGCTCAGTTAATAGCTCACCAGCCTGGGGACTGAAGGGTCCCGGGTTCGATTCCAATCAAGGGCACATGCCCGGGTTGTGGGCTTATTCCCCACTAGGGGGCGTGCAGGAGGCAGCTAATCAATGATTCTCTCTCATCATTGATGTTTCTATCTCTCCCTCTCCCTTCCTCTCTGAAATCAATTAAAAAATACATATTATTAAAGAAAAAGAATGCACTGAACCCAAAGCCATATGTGCTCAGCCATTTGAAAAGAATAACATATACAGAAATAATATACTATTTTTGAAGAAAGTAATTTGCAATTTATTTGGATCATGGGCTCTCTTATTTATATTGAAATTTTTTTCTAGGTCATCCATGCCTGGCTTATTATTTCATCTCTATTGTTGCTGTTCTTTTTCTCATTCATTTATTTGGGGTAAGTGGTGAAATACTTGGTCTATTTTTCAGAAATTAATTCTGTTAGAAGTCTCTATTTTAAAGCCATGTCTCTTATTGATGAATAACCCTTGAAATTATAATTGTTTCCAGATGTCGGTCATAGTTGGTATATATAAGACAAGTTAATATAAATAAGGACATTATTTTATTGATCCTTGCTTATAAGTAGAACTGAAAGAACTCATGACTGTATTTAGTTCTAAGTCTTTTTAGTGAAGAACTTATTACTTTAATAAAAAAATTTTAAAAGTCTATAAATCAGATTGTTAACAGGATTTCAAGAAAGTGTATGCATGATTTAATTGCTTTTCAGTTTTTTATATTTTATAAGTTTTTTCTCTCAAATTAAATCTTATTTGAAAATTTCACATATAAAATAGAAAAAAAGTAGAGCTATCTGTTGAAAAGAGTAGAGAGGTTCAGAGATTTCTCAACCCCATTTACAGAATCAAATTTGTAAATCATTGGGATAGGTCTTATATTAGGAACAGAAGCAATAAAGCTAATACATAAATTGCCCCAGTCTGGTGGTTCACTTGGTTGGAGCATTGTCCTTTATACCAAAAAAAGGTTGCAGGTTTAATTCCAGGTCAGGGTACATATCTAGGTTGCTGGTTTGATCCTGGTTGGGGCATGTAAGGGAGGCAACCGATTGCTGTTTCTCTCTTCCCACTCTTTCTCTCTCTTCCCCTCCCCTTCCCTCTTCCTGACTCTTTGAAATCAATAAGCATATCCTCAAGTGAGGATTCAAAAAAACAACAAATGCATAAATGGAACAGTTTCATAGAGGCAGTGGGAATAAGGACAGACAAAAGAAACAAGTGAGAGAATCTATAAGAACTTGGTGGTTTTCTAGGGAAAAAAAGATAACTGCCACTGATGCAATAGAAAATCTAAATAGAGGTAAAGAAAAAACAGCAGAAAGTTGTTGAAAAGATTTCTATCCTACCTACCAATTAAAATAATACCAGGCACAAATGGGTTCATATTAAACTTTCTAGGAGTAGAAAATTCTAATAGTATTTTAACTGTTCCAAAACACAGAAGAAGAAGGAAAGCTTCCAGAATCACTTTATGAAGCCAACATAACATTGATACAAAAAACCCCTATAAATATAAAGTAAAAGGAAACTGTAGACCAATTCTATTTATTGATATAAAAGGAATAACTCAATATTAAACAGGATTCAGAAATACATTGAAGGAAAATATATTATGACCAAGTGGAGTTTGTTGCAGAATGGAAGGTTGTTTCATTATTAGCAAACTAGAGGTCCAGTGCATGAAATTTGTGCACGTGTGTGTGTGTGTGTGTGTGTGTGTGTTGTGTGTGTGTGTATCTGTGTGTGTGTCCCTCAGCCCAGCCTGTACCCTCTCCAATCTGGGATCCCTCTCACAATCTAGGACTACTGGCTCCCAACTGCTCGCCTGCCTGCCTGATTGCCCCTAACCGCTTCTGCCTGCCAGCTTGATCACCCCTAACCACTCCCCTGCCAGTCTGATCAGCACCTAACAGCTCCCCTGCTAGCCTGATTGCTCCTAACTGCCTTCCTCTGCTGGCCTGGTCACCCTTAACTACCTTTCCCTGAAGGCTTGGTCGCTCCTAACTGTCCTCCCCTGCAGGTTTGGTTGGCCCGGTCACCCCAAACTGCCCTCCCTTGCTAGCTGTTTGGCCTTAACTGCCTTCCCCTGCTGGCCTGGTCACCCCTAACTGCCCTCCTCTGCTGGCCCGATTGCCCCTGTCCTCCCCTGCAGGTCTGGTTGCCCCTAACTGCCCTCCCCTGCTGACCCGGTCACCCCTAACTGCCCTCCCTTGACAGCCTGTTTGCCCTTAACTGCCCTTCCCTGATGGCCTGGTTACCCCTAACTGCCCTCCCCTGCTAACCTGGTCCCCCACAACTACCCTCCCATTTCAGGCCTGATTGCCTTCATCTGCCCTCCCCATGCAGGCCTAATTGCCCCCAACTGCCCTCCCCTGCAGGCCTGATCACCCACAGCTGCCTTCTCCTGCTGGCCATCTTGTGTGTTGGAGTGATGGTCAATTTGCATATTACCTCTTTATTAGATAGGATTTCAATATAAGTCACTGTGTTACTAGGCCATCATCTCTGTACATGCTAAAAGGCATTTGATGAAATTTAAGACCTTTTCTTGATCAAATTCTTTTTAAAAACAAATATATGATTACTTTTTTAACATAATAAAATGTATGGATCTCATCTAAAGGTCATTATTACCTCATAGGGAAGCTAGAGGCATGCCTAGTAAGTTAGGAACAAGATGGGGATTTTCTTTATCACTATTCACTGCTATTGTCTGCCATAGCTCTGGAGGGAATAGTTAACGCAACTAAATAAGAGGGGAAAAAAGAAAGAAGAGCTATAGAATTTGTAAAAGATGGTTAAATTATCAATATTTGGAGATAAAATGATCGTTTACTTCATTTTAGAACTAACCAAAAGACAATTATAATCACTAAGTATTGTTGGATAAATATTCTAATCTGTTAAAGTTGCCAACAAACACACATTGGTGTATAACTTTAAAAAAAATATGTATTTATTTCGGAGAGAAGAAAGAAGAGGTAGAAAGGGAAAAATAATGATAAGAATCAATGTGATGCCTCCTGAACACCCCCTATTGGGAATGAAACCATGAACCGTGACTGCATGGTGCATGTGTCAATGCTCAACCACTGAGCACACCAGCAAGGCTGGTGTATAATTTGTACAAGCAATTTGGCAAAACCATTAAAATTTTCAGTGTATATGCACTGAACTTAGTAATTTATAGAGATAATAATTGTAGAATTGTTTCTTATGGCAAAATAATGGAATCAGTCTAAATATCAATCAATAGAAAACTGATTAAATAAATTATGGTACATCCATACAATAAAGCCATTAAAAGGATGTGATAGCTCCGATATACTAATGTGGAAAGTATTTTAGGAGGAAAAGCCTGATATAGTGCAATGTAATAATATGCTATCATTTGTGTCTAATAAAAAAGTGTATATATAATATGATATTGAACCTCCCTAAAAGGATACACATGAATCTGGCCGATGTGTTTCAGCAGTTGAGTGTTGAACCAGAAAACAAGAGGTTGTTGGTTCGATTCCTGATCAGGGCACATGACATGTTGCAGGCTCAATTCCCAGTAGAGGGCATGCAGGAGTTAGCCATTTGATGATTCTCTCTCATCATTGATGTTTCTATCTCCCTCTCCATTCACTCTCTATAAAAATCAATAAGAACATTCTTTTTAAATATGTACACAGATAATAATTTAATAAAAAATTTTTTAAAAAGAACATTTTTAAAAAATATATATATTTTTTAATGATTTTTTACAGAGAGAAGGATAGAAGGGAGAAGGATAGAGTTAGAAACATTGATGAGAGAAAAACATCCATCAGCTGCTTCCTGCACACCTCTTACTGGGGATGTGCTCACAACCACGGTACATACATGCCCTTAACTGGAATCGAACCTGGGACCCTTCAGTCTACAGGCCAACACTCAATCCACTGAGCCAAACCAGTTAGGGCTAAAAACATATTCTTAAAAAAATTAAAACATAAAAGCATGCACATGAAATTATAATAGTGCTTCTTTCCTTTGGAGAGGGGAACTATGGGAGGAAAACTTTTCATAGTATATGATGTGAATTATGTGGGGTGGGTGTTTAGTGCTAGGATATCTGAAATACTTAATACATTGTTCAGAAATTTCAACAGTTTTTTAAATTTTCAAAATCTCAAAATGATCTTTCTGGGTAGTTCTGGCACCCAAAGTTTGTGCTTAAATTAAGTGGGTGCTTTCTTTCTCATTTACCCAGGGCATCTTTCTTACATGTAATTTATTTATTTTTAGACTATAGGCCCAATGCATGAAATTCGTGCAAGAGTAGGCCTTCCTTCCCCCAGCTGCCAGCACCAGCTTCCTCTGGCACCCGGGATCCAGGCTTCCTTCCGGTCATCGGTAGCCATCCAGGACCTGGGCTTCCCTGGCAGCCCTGGCTTCATCCGGAGGGACATTTGGCCAAATATTATAGACCAGTGGTCGGCAAACTCATTAGTTAACAGAGCCAAATATCAACAGTACAACGATTGAAATTTCTTTTGAGAGCCAAGTTTTTTTAAACTTAAACATGTTCTAATGCCACTTCTTCAAAATAGACTCGCCCAGGCGTGGTATTTTGTGGAAGAGCAACAGTCAAGGGGCCAAAGAGCCGCATGTGGCTCACAAGCCACAGTTTGCTGACCACTGTTATAGATGGTGGAATCCCTCCCCCACAATTAAAATAGTATTTTTCTTCATTATAAAAATGACGCTGCCTGGGGTATTGCAGTTGGTTAGAGTGTCATCCAGATACGCCAAGGTTTTGGGTTTGATGCTCAGTCAGGGCACATACAAGAACCAACCAATGAATGGAACAATAAATAAGTCAATGTTTCTCTCTCTTTCTCTCTGTCTCTCTTACACTCTGAAATATTTTTTTTTAAATGACTAAACATTCATTGTAAAAAAACCCAAACATACTACCTATTTTACAAGATTATAAAGAGAAAAGTAGTAAAGAAATAACCAGATTCCCATCATCTAAAGATAAAGAATCCTGCATTCTTTCAGGAATTATGTATCGATATATTGCTCTCCCCACTCACACATAATTTCATAAGTGAGATTTTTTTTTTTTAGGCAGTGTGTCGTGTGTGTGTGTGTGTGTGTGCATCTTTTAATGGATTAATAAATTTCATTTTATGAAGGTACTAGAGGCCCGGTGCATCAATTCGTTCATAGGTGGGGTCTGGCCAGCCCACCCCAATCTGGGCTGATTGGACCCCCTTGCCCCTCCAGGCCAGGGGGAAGGGATATGGGAGGTTGGTCAGCCAACCCCGCCCCCAATTGGGGTAGGGGGGGCCGATCGGGGGCAGGGCCACCTTGGGAGAGGGGCCAAGGGCAGTTGGCCGGCTGGCCCCACCTCCTGGGCCTGCCTCCTGGTCAAACTCCAGGTTGAACTCCTGGTCAAGGGGACAATTGCATATTAGTCTTTTTAAAAATATATATATATTTCTATTGATTTTTAGAGAGAGAGGAAGGGGAAGGGAGATAGAGATAGAAACACTGATGAAAGAGAAAGTCATCAATTGGCTGCCTTCTGCATGGCTCCCACTGGGGATGAAGCCTGAAATCTGGGCATGTGCCCTGACTGGGAATTGAACCGGCGACCTCTTGTTCCTGGTTCAATGCTCACTGCTGAGCCACATCCTCCAGGCAGCATGTTAGCCTTTTATTATATAGGATCATACATTCTAATTATGAAATTAATTGTTCATGTTTCATTTGTGTCAATTTCAGGTATTTTCTTTCTTTAATGCATTTTATTTAAATATATAGCACATGTTCTACCATAGATTTTTTTTGGAAAACATGTTTTTTAAAAAATGAAATGCTGGTTTTTCATAAAATTTCCACACTATCTAATCTCTAATTTTGCCCAAAATTAAAACCAGCATTACAGGTGACTACATGAATCATTCCTCCCATCCCTTTGTTATAATTTCAGATATTTTAAATATTTTTTTTTATTGATTTTTTTACAGAGAGGGCGAGAGAGGGATAGAGAGTTAGAAACATCAATGAGAAACATTGATCAGCCGCCTCTTGTACACCCCCCACTGGGGATGTGCCCACAACCAAGGTACATGCCCTTGACTGGAATCGAACCTGGGACCTTTCAGTCTGCATGCCGACGCTCTATCCACTGAGCGAAACCGGTTTCGGCATAATTTCAGATATTTTATTTTATTTTTAAAAATATATTTTATTGACTTTTTACAGAGAGGAAGAGAGAGGGATAGAGAGTTAGAAACATCGATGAGAGAGAATCATCGATCAGCTGCCTCTTGCACCACCCTACTGGGGATGTGCCCGCAACCAAGGTACATGCCCTTGACCGGAATCGAACTCGGGACCGTTCAGTTCGCAAGCCGACGCTCTATCCACTGAGCCAAACCGGTCTCGGCTAATTTCAGATATTTTAAACGAGAGTTTCCAAAGTATAGAATTTGGTATTTTAGGTAGTATGCAGCCTTTTTTAGTGTTTGTATGTACTTATTTTTATAGCTACAGTCTATGTTACTGGTTTTCCATTTATATGAATGATACAATTTTCTTTTTCTTTTTTTTTCTTTTTTTAATATATTTTATTGATTTTTTACAGAGAGGAAGAAAGAGAGCTAGAGAGCTAGAAACATCGATGAGAGAGAAACATCGACCAGCTGCCTCTTGCACACCCCCTACCGGGGATGTGCCCGCACCAACGTGACCGGAATTGAACCCGGGACCTTTCAGTCCGCAGACCTATGCTCCACCACTGAGCCAAACCGGTTTCGGCTGAATGATACAGTTTTCTGTTAAAATAATTTGAGGAGGCTGGGACCAGTTTGGCTCAGTGGATGGAGCGTCGGCCTGCGGACTGAAATGTCCTGGGTTCGATTCCAGGCAAGGGCATGTACGTTGGTTGCGGGCACATCCCCAGTAGAGGGTGTGCAAGAGGCAGCTGATTGATGATTCTCTCTCATCGATGTTTCTAGCTCTCTATCCCTCTCTCTTTCTCTCTGTGAAAAATCTATTCTTTTTTTTTAAAATAATAATTTGAGGAGGCCAAAACCGGTTTGGCTCAGTGGATAGAGCATCAGCCTGTGGACTGAAGGGTCCCAGGTTTGATTCCGGTCAAGGGCATGTACCTTGGTTGTGGGCACATTCCCAGTGGGGGGTGTGCAGGAGGCAGCTGATCGATGATTCTCTCTCATCAATGTTTCTAACTCTGTCCCTCTCTCTTCCTCTGTAAAAAATCAATAAAATATATTTAAAAAAATAATAATTTGAGGAGAAAACTGAATTAATTTAAAGAAAATGTTAAAATAATAGCACAGTTGGTACAAGATATGGTAAAAATATGAAGGTGGGATAGGAATACCTAATGTTTGAGAACCATAGTTCTAAACAGTGTTTTGAGGAAATTATTATACATAAATCTTTTTATATCTCTGTTTCATTTTTTTTAGGGAAGTGTTTAAAACCTATAATGTTGCCGTAGACTACATTACTGTTGCCCTCCTGATCTGGAATTTTGGTGTGGTGGGAATGATTGCCATTCATTGGAAAGGTCCACTGCGACTCCAGCAGGCGTATCTCATCATGATCAGTGCCCTCATGGCCCTGGTATTTATCAAGTACCTCCCAGAATGGACTGCATGGCTCATCTTGGCTGTGATTTCAGTATATGGTAAAACCCGAGATTGACTTTTTTAAAATTTATTCACAGAGATACCTCATCTGGTGTATTTTCCTTCCTCTTCTAGTTATCTTGACTTATGAAAATGATAATTTTCATAATTAATTAGCAAATAATTAGCAATGGCATCTTTATCATAGAAAGATTTCAATTTTTTGAGGTTAATATCTTTAAAAATATTTTATTATTGCCTCCAGTTTAACTCAGTGATAGACAGATTTCTGGTCAGGAGACTTACTTAGGTTCATATCCTCCTATCTGTGCCACGGACAGCCTTTGTGATCTTAGGAATGTGACTCAGCCTGTTTGAGCTTCAGTTGCCTCATTTGGAAAATGGGAACAATGCTTCCCAGAATTTGTAATGGTTCAGAATATATGTGTAACACATAAAATGCTCATTTTAATTTAAAAAATATATATACTCTTATTGATTTCAGAGAGGAAAGGAGAGGCAGAGAGGTAGAAACATTAATGATGAGAGAGAATCATTAATTGGCTGCCTCCTGCCCAGGTTAAGTATTGAGCCCCAACCTGGGATGTGCACTAATTGGAAATCAAACTGTGACCTCCTGATTTGTAGGTCAATGCTCAACCCCTGAGCAACACTGGCTGGGCTCACTTAATTTTTAAAATAAAAATTAGGTTATCTTTTTATAAGGCACTTGGGTAGAATTATTCTTTTAAAAATAAAACTTATTTGGGTAGTATGAGATTCAAATTCATTAACAACCAATGTTACATGGGTCCTGAACAGTTAGAAAGTGCCCTACCACGAATAACTAAGGCAGTTGTACAAATGTGTACTCTGTTGCCCTGCATGAAAGCTACAAAAAGAGATCCATTTTTAGAGGCCAGTATGTGGTTTCTACATTATAAGTAGGTAGTGTTTTTTTATTCCTATACAGTTGCTTATTTAAAAATGTCAGGGGACGCATATTAGGAAACATCATCATCCCAAATTGAGTGTTGAAGAAAAAGTATATGGAAATAGAATTGAATTGGTTCTGTTCTCATATATAGAACTAAAGTCATATGTCTTCTGTGCCTGACTTTAGGTTATCTTCTATCTATTGATATATATATAAAAGCCTAAGCAACTGTCCACTGCCTGACTGGTAGCTATGACGTGCACTGACCACCAGGGGGCAGACGCTCAATGCAGGAGCTGCCGAGCTGTAGTGACTTGGCAGCTGTGTTCTAGGGTGACGCACCCAGAACCAGAGAGTAGGGAGCCCAATTCCAGTGTGCTTCACCTGAGAACTGCCCTCTGTCAATCTGGGACTCCTCAGGGGATGTTGGAGAGCCGGTTTTGGCCCTATCTCTGCAGGCCAGGCCAAGAGACCCCACCGAATCTGTGATCAGGCCTCTAGCATAATAGAATAGTACTTGATTTGCAAAGTAGTCATCAGTTATTCCATAGCTAAGATGAAGAATGTCAATGCTGTACTTCATCCATTCAGCAACTAATAAGTACTTTACAGTCAGAGATTTTACTAATATGTTCTGTTTAGTGCCATTGTCAACAACCACATTTTGCTAAGAGACCTGAAGTTTATATAGGTAAAGTATTTGCCCAAGCTTATCCTGTTTGATGTAGAATCGGAAGCCCAAATTCAGTCCTTTTTCTTACTTACATTACATTCTTTTTTCCATCAACCATTTATTTCCTTCAAATATGATACAAATAAATACCTCTACAGATCTTTGAGTTCCTTTAAAATGCAAAATTTTTGTATCTAATATTTAGAGCAGTGATTTTCAACCTTTTTCATCTCATGGCACACACAAATTAATACTAAAATTCCAAGGCACACCAAAAAATATTTTGGAACCCAACAAATTTCTCTTTTCTTATTCAAAACAAATTGAAGTGGAAACAGTGAGAGTAGCAATTTCTGTTTGTTGCATATTATATTATTTGTAGTAGTAGTAGTAGTAGTAGTTTACGAGATATTACCATTTGCAGGCATGAGATGTTTTACTTAAATGCATTAGACTGTTTGGAATATCACCATAAGCTGTCAAGTTTTCCTTTAAAATGTAGCTGTACCTGTTTTGTATTTTCAAATGTTTGAAATTATTTTCCATATTCTGAATTTTCATGATAGAAAATATAAGAACAGCTGCAGTTATTGGAAAGAGATGGTGGTAGAATCAAGAATGATTTAGAACAACAACAAAAAAGCATAATTTAGGCATTTTACTTCCTCTCTTAGTTGCTGTTTTTGTGAAAACAGATATACTCTAAGACCTAAATACTTATGAAGTGCTTTTGACAAGAAAACTAAAGAAATGCTAAACTCTCTCATAGAAAAGTTTATTATTTTATTTTGTTTAAATTTACTGCCCTCTTATTTAAAAGAAGAGAAGATGAATCCCTTGTCTGCTCTTCATATTTTGAAAAGTTCAATCAAATACCCTCTATTAAATTCTTTTTAGAATAAAGTTCCTATCTGTGGCTCATAGATATGGTTTGTTTGCAAATGGCTTGTCCCTATTTTCTGCTTATTGGACATTGACAATTGCTCTAAAATAGTTCTGTCTTGCAATTATCTCTGCCTCTTTTCTTCAAACTGGGAAGAGTTATTCTTAGAACCCAATAAAGATACATTGTAAACTAACCAAATAGCATCAAAACCAAAGCAAAATTTGCACAGATTTATAGGGTTTTGTTTAGGTTGCCCCATACCAGTTTACCTGCTATTTATTTCATATTCATTCAACATCTTTAAAAAATAGTTTATTAATTTTAGAGCGAGCGAAAAGCATCAATGTCATAGGCTAACATTGATCGGCTACCTCCTGCATGTTCCCTGATGGGGATTGAGGCAGTGACCCCAAAGTGTGCCCTGACTGGGAATTTCACCAGCAACCTTTCAGTGCACGGGAAGACAACCCAACCAACTGAGTCACACTAGCCAGGGCCATTTCACATCTTTTTATTTAAAAATTTTTTAAATATTTTCTATTGGCTAATTTTTCTCTAACACACCTACTTACAAGTTTAGCCAATACATTTTTTCAGATGTCTTTTCTATTTTGCTTTCTAGATTTAGTGGCTGTTTTGTGTCCAAAAGGCCCACTTCGTATGCTGGTTGAAACAGCTCAGGAAAGAAATGAAACTCTCTTTCCGGCTCTCATTTACTCCTGTAAGTATTTGGAATGGTATTAAATTAGTAAGCAGCTTAGAGTTTATAGGAACTGAAACACACATGACAAGGTCATTATCATAGTACTTTTTTTTTTTAATGTATATTTTATTGATTTTTTTTACAGAGAGGAAGAGAGAGGGATAGAGAGTTAGAAACATCGATGAGAGAGAATCATTGATCAGCTGCCTCTTGCACCCCCCCCACTGGGGATGTGCCCGCAACCAAGGTACATGCCCTTGACCAGAATTGAACCTGGGACCTTTCAGTCCGCAGGCTGACGCTCTATCCAATGAGCTAAACGGGTCTCGGCTATCTTGGTACTTTTTATCTCATCTTAAATGCAGATCTCTGTTTCCTTGCAAATTATTATCTTCCACCTGACATGGTAGAGAGAGAAGAAATAAAGTTTTTTATTGATATTAGAGAGAAAGAGAGAGAGAGAAACATTGATTGGCTGCCTCCTGCACTCATTCCAACCAGGGAACAAGTCCACAATCTGGGAATTGAACTGAGACCTTTTGGTGTATGGGACAATGCTCAACCAATTGAGCCATACTGGCCAGGGCAAGATAGAAGAAATATTTAGAAATTGGGGAGCCAGTATTCTCACTTAAAATTTTACTAGTCAAGTGTTACTGAGTACTGGTTATAGACATATCTTGCAGAGTTTATGAAAGAATTGTACTGTTCCTTCAGAATGTGTTTGCCTTTTTTGTTTTAGAGTCACCCTTTTCCTAATAATTCAGTAAATATTTATTGGGCATTGACCATCTTTTCCCACAGAGCATTGTAGGGGACAAAAAGATGATTAAGATACTTTGCCTTCCTTTAGAGCTCATTTGCTTACAATTTAGGGATCAGATAAGAAAATATACAAATAAGCAGCATCTAATGAAGAATGTGATCAGAGTGAGAAGTGGAGAGAGTTCAAAAGGGAGGAAGTCTGGCTGGGGACACAGGGAAGGCTTCCTGGAAGAGACAGCATTTGGATTGAATCTGTTAAGGATACGGTAGGATTGCAGCAAGCACAGAGGGAAATCAGTTCCATAACTGGGCTTGTCACAAAGAATGGCTTGGAGATATAAGTGTGGAGCCTCTTCATCAAATTTAAAGTGTTTACTTTGACTAGAACATGAAGTACACAATGGGGAAAATACTAGGGAGAGTTTAGAGAAGCAGATTACATCAAGATCAACTATAGATTTGAGTGACTGGGTTAACTCTCCATGCTTTTCATGATCATTGGAGAACCATAAAAGGTTCTTGAGCTGAAGAATAAAGAAAAATATGTGATAAAAGCCAGATGTGACCCACAAGCCTGAAATGTTTACTGTTTGGCCCTTTATTGGAAAAGTCGATAGACCCCTGATTTCTGTAGTAATATTAAATATTAAGAGAATTTGTAGCAATATTTTCTCCTTTGCATAAAGAAAGAAAATCAAACACCTGCTGCTGTGTTTCTAAGAAGGCTACCGAAATCCATAAGCCTGGAACATATGGTTGCCTTCTGTTTGTCTTATTTGGGTTTGGATTTAGTTGAACAGTGCATTGCCTGCCCAGCTTATGTTGACTTTGATAATGTTATTGGATAATGTAACTTATTTAACTTCAAAATAACAAAGTCATGATTAAATATGCCTATTATAGAATTTTCAGCCTCTTTTTTGTGTGTGTGGTTTTTTTTTTTCATAAGTTGCTCAAAAAGCCTAAGAGTATTAGGAACATGGGTATAATGATAAAATTTATAACAAAAAGCCAGAGAGACATAGACGCCAAGTGTCTTGTTTAAAATTGCTTACTATGATCAGGTTAGGCATTTGGTTCCTGGTGTAGCCCTGTGTGGTACATGTTTATATGAATTTTTATATTATTGTTGTTGTATTTTCAGGATGACTTCCCAAAAAGTGGTATACCTTGGTCTAAGGGATAATGTATATGTAGTTTTGTTAGATGTTACCATATTCCCCTCCAGTAGGGTCTATACCATTTTTAGTTCCATGAAATACATGAGAAGCACCATTTTAAAGAATTGATATTATCTCTTCACTAAAATGTGACAGAGATACGTATGTATGTATCTACGTATATATTTTTTTCTTATTTTCCATATGTAACATAGGCTAGCATTATTGAAAATCCAGAAATGGCACATGATATGAAAGAAACTAACTCTATGCATTTTTAGAATTATAATAAGCATATGATCCTCTTGTGAACCCTATTTTGTCCTCTAATTTAGTTCCAAGAACTAATTTTTATCTGTGAATTCACACTATTTTAGGAAATTCAACTAGTCCAGCTACTATTGCAGTGGAACCTTGCTGGCCTGAAGAGCTTTCCTTTTGGTTACTTTTCAGGGACTGTGAATGATTACGGCACTTTTACAATAGCAGCTGCAGTTTTAATTTCAGAATTTTTTATATGCCAGAATCAAAGAGAACCTTTTGTATTTTTAAAATACATCTAGTTCTGTTTTTTAAGAAGATGGTAGGAAGAGGTTAATGGGGGAAAAAGGATGAACTATGTAATACTTACAACAATAAAGATTGAAAGAAAAAGAGAAAGAAGCTTGGTGATTTGTGTGGGAATTGATGGCCTGCTGTCTATTCGTGCACTTCCCTTCTGCGTTTCCAATGCTTACCTGGACTCTGTCTTTCTTAACAGCAACCATGGTGTGGTTGGTGAATATGGCAAAAGGAGACCCTGAAGCCCAAAGGAAGGTATCCAAAAACTCCAATTCTAGTGAACAAAGTAGGTAAATTTTATTTGGTAATTTTCTGGGGTTTCGGGTCATTGTCATCTTACAGGCTAACAATTAGTTATAAGGTTGTGATTGTAACCTTTTTCTTTGGTCATAGATTTCTTTGAGAATCTCCTGAAAGCTGTGGTAATAGCTGGTAAAAATACCGATAAATATTAAGGAGTTCAGATTGTCCAAACCCAATAGTAAAGCCAAGGCACCCTCGGTTAAGAATTCCTGCCATTGGGTACCATTAATGCCAGGGTGAAAGTTTCAGGTGGAGGCTGATTTTATTATTTTTTATTTTATTTTTTTAAAGCTATTCATGACACTTGTTTTTTTAAAATTTAATTTTATTATTTTTTATATATTTTAGTGATTTTTTACAGAGAGGAAGAGAGAGGGATAGAGAGTTAGAAACATCTATGAGAGAGAAACATCGATCAGCTGCCTCTTGCACACCCCCTACTGGGGATGTGCCCGCAACCAAGGTACATGCCCTTGCCCGGAATCGAACCCGGGACCTTTCAGTCCGCAAGCCGACGCTCTATCCACTGAGCCAAACCGGTTTCGGCTGGAGGCTGATTTTAAAAGAACAGGTAGCCTTTCTCTCCAAACCTGTAGAGAATGAGAATCTCTTGTTTGTCATGGCCAGACCAACTTAAAAATAATTTTATTTGAGATGTGATCATGATTATACTGAGAAGAAAAAATACTCTGGGTGGACATGACTTTCTGGAGGAGGCAAATGATGGCCTAGGAGGGGAGAGGAAGAGGCCCACGTATGGAAACTGCCGAGGAGATTAAGGAGAACATAAGTTAGGAGTTATTAGAAAGAGTTGAATAACAAAAACAATGACAATAGTCAAGAAGAAAGGACACTTTTTTTAAAGAAAAGGAAAGGGCTAGCCTTATGAGGAAACTGAAAAACAGAAGCAGGATAAAAGTTGGTGAGAGAAGTGGAAAGGGCCTTAACTGAGTTGCTGTTTGTCAGGTAAGGAAGGGGTTAGGTTTTTTAGAGCCAAGAAAACAGCTGAAACCGGTTTGGCTCAGTGGATAGAGCATCGGCCTGCGGACTGAAGGGTCCCGGGTTTGATTCCGGTCAAGGGCATGTACCTTGGTTGCAGGCACATCCTCAGTAGGGTGTGCAGGAGGCAGCTGATCCATGATTCTCTCTCATCGATGTTTTTAACTCTCTATCCCTCTTTCTTCCTCTCTGAAAGAATCAATAAAATATATTTAAAAAAAAAAAATAGAGCCACGAAAACTGCTGCTTTAGCTTTTAGGTAACTGAGGACACTTTCAACTGGGAATTCCTATTTGGGTCCCAAAGACTCCAGGTTCATTCTGCAGTGAGCAAAGCAATAGAACAAGGTGACAATGCACCCTCAGTAGACCTGGTAGAGAAGTGGGAAATGTATTGGAAATAATTGCTACAAGTCTGGTTATTATGTTAACCTGTGTTAAGCTAAAGCAAATTAAAAGATGGATTGTTTATGAGTATGTATGTTTATATGTCAGTATGAGTGTGTATTTGGCATATCAAGATTTTATTCTTTCGATAAATGTTGATTGAGCACCAAACTGTGTGCCTGATATTTTGCTAGGTACTGGGGATAGGGCACTGAACGAGATACCCTGTTCTGTGGCACTTGTAGCCCATTTAAGGAGACACAAACATTCAACAGATCATTCATACAGTTGTTGATAAGTCCTATAAATGAGAAGTCTAAGTTGCTATGGAAGTTTATAGTAGAAGAATTTCATTTATTTTGGAAAGTCAAGGAAGGCTTCCCTGAGGAAGTGATAGCAAATGAAGAATGGAAGTATTTTCCAAAAGAAGAAATGACCTGGGCAGGGGGTTTGAAGTGAGAAGGAGCCGAATAAGCTGCAGTTCCTCAGGGGAGTGCTGTTGGTATTTTGGGTGGGGGGGGAGACACACAGTTCTTGGTAGTCACATGGGCTTATCCCGCTGCAGATGTCTAACATTCCTGGCCCTTCAACCAATAAATGCTAATCGTGACTTCCAGGTGTTACAACAACTCAAAACTCCTCCATGGAAGTTAGTTCCAAATAACCCCTGGGAAAACACTAGAGGAACTAGACACCTGATGGGAGCAAACGGGCATAGGTCTCCAGGAGGGATGTCTGTACAAGGAAAGGCCGGAACAGAGCTGGGAGGTTACCTGACTGTGAACTCTGCTAAGAGTTTGAGGATGAATTAGTTGTAATACATAGAAAATTAGTTAAGGAAAAAAATTAGGCGGTTTGCCAGAGAAAACAAAAAGTCATACAGAAGAAGCAAATGTAATTAGAGTATATTCTGATTGTAGCCAAGTATTTTAGTTGTGAATACTTTTTGCATTGTGATAGTATAAAAATTGAACTTAACATAAGATGATGACGTATTGAGAATATGGGGAGAGGTCAATTTACATGTGGGCTTGAATATGAAAGCAATGCTTCATTTCCCTGTAGGAAGTGATTACATTTTAACCTGAAATGAAAACATCAATATATCACACTATGAACATGCTATTTATAATTAACTGTGAATGCTAACACCAAAGGAAACAGCTGAGAAGTTTGAAAATAGGAGTGAGAATAGGAGGAGGGAAGGGACAGAGCAGGGGCTGCTGTTTTTATCTTTATTTGTAAACCTTATGCTTCTGTAACTTCACAAACTCCAAACCAGGGAAGATCCCATTTTGTGGTAACTGATTAAGAAAAAGAATACAAAATTGTGAGGACCCCTCCCAGAAAAAAATGTATGCAAGGGAGAGAGGCCTGAAGTGAACAGGCTTAATTTATTCATGGTAAATCTACCTCTGCTAGGAACATGTGTCATTTTTATAAACAAAGAAAAAAGAAAAAAAATATTACTATCAACGCCACGTAATATAATTATTTTTGTTGTGTGGAAGGTTCTCAAGACTCTCAAGTTATGCTCACAATTTTCAGACCGACAGTCATGACAAAATGACTAGCCCATAAAAAATGTGTTCCCTACCCACCCCACCCTTCACCTCCCTGCTGTATAACTTAGGCACTAAAGGCAGAGCCGAGTTTTCAGAAAGGAGTGGTTAGAAAGCTTTCAGCTGCAAACATCAGAAAAAACAACTTGTTTGCTTTAAACAAGAAGAAATGTGTTCTCTCACATGACCAGAGTCCCGAGGTGTAGACGTTTTAGGGTTAGTTAGTTTTGTGGTCGTCAGTGTTATCAAGGGCCCAGGTTCTTTCCTGCTGTGCCATCCTTAGCACACTGCTCCTCATGGTTGCAAGATAACAAATACAGTTCCAGGCATCATATCCAGATAAGACAACATCTAGGGGTAGGGGGACAGTTAGTAAAGAGTGAAAAATTTCCCCCAAATTTGTAGCAGGCTTTGCTTCATCACACACTGACTAGTACCAAACCCATAGCCTCAGAGCTTTCATTGGGAAGAGGAATGATGGACTTGGATCGATCAGGATTTACACTTGAGTCATGTGAGCGAGAGGTAGAAATCCAAACACATCAGGACTGCCCTCAGGAATAAGGGGAGAAATGGTTAATGGGTAAGCAACCAACAGGCCCTGCTATAGCCCATGTTTTGTGGTTAAAGAGCCAGGTAACCAATTATGACAACCAAGTAGTTACTGTTTCCATGTAACTTTCTAAAAGGTATTAAGAACATTTTCTGAATATTACAGTTGTGATTTCTTTTTCTTGAAGACACAGTGAGTGAGCCACAGAACCCTGTGACAGAGAGTGATGATGGTGGCTTCAATGAAGAGTGGGAAGCCCAGAGGGACAGTCGTCTGGGACCTCATCACTCTACAGCTGAGTCACGAAGTGCTGTACAGGAAATTTCCAGCAGCATCGTAGCCAGTGAGGACCCAGAGGAAAGTATGTGCATTTCTCTAATTGAAAGTCATGGATTCCTGTAGGTGCTGCAGCATCAAGCCCTCCCAAAATAAAATTAACCCAGAGCACTAGTCTACTTCTAAGTAACAGCACAGCTTTTAGTGGGAAATAACAATAGATGTTGCTTTTCTTTATACACACACACACACACACACACACACACACACACACACACACTAGAGGCCTGGTGCACAAAATTCGTGTGGAGGGAGGGGATGTTCCTCAGCCTGACCTGCACCCTCTCCAATCTGGGAGCCCTCAGGGGATGTCCTACTGATGGCTTAGGCCTACTCCCTGTGGTTCTATGCTCTCTGTGGGGCCTGCCTGCTCCACACCGCGGCAATGGCCAACCAAGCCATGCTGGGAGCTGCCTCCTCCCTGTTGTCAGTCTCCATGGGGGTAATGAGGTTAATTTGCATATGCACTCCTGATTGGCTGGTGGGTGTTGTGAAGTGGTGGTAAATTTGCATGTTTCTCTTTTATTAGTGTAGGTATATATATATATATGTGTGTGTGTGTGTGTGTGTATGTGTGTGTGTGTGTGTATATATATATATATTATTGATTTCAGAAAGGAAGGGAGAGAGAGAAACATCAATGATCAGAGAGAATCATTGATCAGTTGCCTCCTGCATGCCCCCCCATTGGGGATAGAGCTCACAACACAGGCATGTTCCCTGACCTGAAATCAAACTGCAACTTCCTGGTTCATAGGTTGATGCCTAACCACTGAGCCATGGTGGCTGGGCTAGTGGGGCTTTTCTCATAGCATCGTGTGTTAATGGGTCAAATCCTGCCCCTCGGGTTGTTGAAATTGGCCTTTTATAGTCTGATCTTTGGTATTTGTTTTATAAGGTCAAAGATTTATTTATTTTTTCAGTAAGATTTCATGGCTGCAGTATTCTTGTGTACAAATATTTTATTAATATTTTTTACTTTTTGTTGTACAGAGACCAGTGGTTTGAATGTTTCCATCTTTTACATTGTTATTCCCTATGTCAGCAAGTTCCTCCTAACTTCAGATTAATATTTTCTTTGGGACCAATATAAACTAATATTTCATCATCTTAGCATCCACTACCACACAACCACTCTGATTACATTAGTGTTTTAAACCAGACTTATGGTTACTTATAACGGTCTCCGTTTATACTGGAAATTATTTCTAAAAAGACACATATGTCTTCCAGGACAACCTTTTAAAAATCAGCATTTAGCCGAGACCAGTTTGGCTCAGTGGATAGAGCGTCGGCCTGCGGACTGAAAGGTCCCGGGTTCGATTCCGGGCAAGGGCATGTACCTTGGTTGCGGGCACATCCCCAGTAGGGGGTGTGCAAGAGGCAGCTGATCGATGATTCTCTGTCATCGATGTTTCTAACTCTCTATCCCTCTCTCTTCCTCTCTGTGAAAAATAAATAAAAATAAAAAAAATCAGCATTTAGCCCTAACTGGTTTGGCTCAGTGGATAGAACATCGGCCTGGGGACTGAAGGATCCCGGATTTGATTCCAATCAAGGGCATGTACCTTGGTTGCGGGCACATCCCCAGTAGGGGGTGTACAGGAGGCAGCTGATCAATGTTTCTAACTTTCTATCCCTCTCCCTTCCTCTCTGTAAAAAAATCAATAAAATATATTAAAAAAATAAATAAAGTCAACATTTAATCAGAAAACTAAGTAGAGCCTTTAATTAGAAATGTAAAACATTTTTATTCAGTGTGAAGGCAGTTGATCTTCTAGTGCAGTGTTTCCCAAACTTTTGACATATAATTTTCGTAACACTGAGTTCCCCTCGTACTCATGAGAACGTAGAATTAGGTGCAGCTAAGCATGGTGCAGTGCATATCCCCACCAAACTCCGGTGCAACGCGTACTCCCACCAAACTCTTCCCGTACCCCTGGGGGTATGCGTACCACACTTTGGGAAACACTGTTCTAGTGAATTTCAAAAATATTCTTCCTTCAAACATCATGCGCCCAGCAGGCTCATCCTCGGTGTAATACTGTTAATCTTACAATTGACCAGAGCAGGGAAAGGAGCCTGGTGTTTCCAGGAGTGGGGAGTTGACTCATGGAGGTTCTTTTCCTATTGTATTTACCTCAAGGAAGGAGAGAGAGGGATTTTGCTATTTTTTTTTTAAGTGGAGGAAGAGATTTTAGTAGTATAAAAGGCAGTTTTTAATATGTTTATATTTATTTAAGAGATAATAGGAAATAGTCATTATTATGCTATTATACATAAGCTAGACACATATGCTGCTGGAGGTCATATAGAGAAACCTTATAATTAAAGTGAGCAGTCACATCATTTATTGTCTTTACTATGTCTTGTGTTTGGTAGACCATCAGATGCCCCTTTTAATATTAAAAGAATACCATAATTACTTAAAATTATTTTTCAGAGTTGGCAAAAACAAAACAAAAAACAACAGAAGGCAGACTTCTGTTAACCATTATAAGCAAATAGTAGAAAAATGCTAGCAGCCAATTTTAGCATACTTGGCAATAGCATACAATTAATTCATTATGTCTAACTTAAGCAGTTTTCAGGGCTATAATTTTAGTTGTTTAGCCATGGCATATTTTGATTGAATAAATAAAAGTGAGCTGTTTAAAGAAAACAAATTCCCAGCAACTGATTTTTCTTAGGTTTTATATACTGATTCAGTTTCTTCTGATTATAGGTCAATAAAATGTGTCCTTTTGGTAAGTGCTAAAGAAAAAAAATTGATGGTTACTTCTTTGTCGTCCCCCCCCCCTCTATTTTAAATATATTTTTATTACTGATTTCAGAGAGGGAGAGGGAGAAAGAGATAGAAACATGAATGATGTGAAAGAACCATTGATCGGCTGCCTCCTGTACGTGCATGCTAGGGATTGAGCCTGTAACCCGGACATGTGCTCTGACCAAGAATCGAACTGTGACTTCCTACCTAGTTCATAGGTTGATGCTCAATCCCTGAGCCACGCCAGCTGGCTTCTTTCTCTGTTTTAATTTTGCTAATAAAATATACCTGTATTTATCCCTTCACTAAAATGAATTATGTGAAGTAGTACAATAGCATTTATCACAGTATAGGCAGTCCTCGGTTATGTCAGACTCAACTTACGTTGTTTGGTGGTTACGTCACCATCTCCCATTTATTTATTTTTAAAAAATTCCGTCATTTCGATGGATGTACATATGGCTTTATGTTTTTTATTATTTATTTACCACAAGTAAAAGTCAAGAATTATCTTTCTTTTAATTTTTTTTTATTGTTTGACTTCATTTCCGCTGTGTATGTGCTCCATGTGAGTGACGTAGGTGCTTATGTAGGTGGGTTTCTACTTACGGCGACAATCGCGTTACGTGGCGCTGTAGGAATGGATCTCTGACATAACCCGAGGACTGCCTGTATTGCTGTTATTTACACAAGACTTTATTTTTTATTTTTAAAATGTTTAAATTATTATTTTTTTTAAATTTAAAGTATTACATATATATCCTTTTTTTTAAATGAAAAAAATGTGAGACCGTAATTTTAAGCTTGATTCAATACATTTTTTTTTAAAGCTATATTGAGATATAATTCACTTACTATAACAGTTCATGCATTTAAAGTTGTGGCTTTAGAATATTCACAGAAGTGTTCTAGCTTCATCACAATTAATTTTAGAATGTTTTCATTATCCCAGAAAGAAACCCACACTTGTTAGGTGCCCACCTCTCCATCCCCCCATATAAAGTATGCAGTGCATTGATTTTTATTGTATTCAGAGTTAGGCAATCATCACCATAAGTGAATTCTAGAACATATTCATCACCTCAGAAAGAAACCTTTATCCATTCATTAGCCTCCACACCTCTCAACACCAACCAGTGTGTACTATCTTCATATGTTTTCCTGTTCTGGATATTTAATAAAAATGTGGTCCTTTACCCTAACCAATTTGGCTCAGTGGATAGAGCGTTGGCCTGTGGAGTGAAAGGTCCCAGGTTCGATTCGTTCAAGGGCATGTACCTTGGTTGCGGGCACATCCCCAGTAGGGAGTGTGCAGGAGGCAGCTGATTGATGTTTCTCTCTCATCAATGTTTCTAACTCTCTATCCCTCTCCCTTCCCCTCTATTAAAAAAAATCAATAAGATATATTTAAAAACAAACAAAAAACATTATGCTAAGTGAAAGAAACTGGTACAAAGGACCACATTTCAATATATTTTTATTATATAATGTTTGTGGCAGCATTATTCATAATAGTCCGAAACTGAAAACAGTCCACGTGCCCGTCACCTGGTAAGTGGGTAAACAAGCTTAGAGGTAGTATATTCATACAGTGGGGAAGTATTCATCAGTGAAAAGGAACAAGCTACAGACATGAAGTAGCATGGATAAACCTCAGAAACGTTAAGTGAAAGAAGCCAGTCACAAAAGACTTCATAATGTCTGAGTCCGTTTCTATGAGCTGTCTAGAAAAGGCAGATTTATAGAGAGAGCAGGTTGGAGTGGGGATTCTTTGAATGGGCACAGGTACTTTATCAGGGTGTTGGAAATGGGAATTGTGAAAATGGTTAAACAGTTCTAAGTTTTCTATAATGATTGAATTCTACACTTACACAAATAGATGAATTTTATGAAATGAATGGTACCTCAGGAAAGCTGTTTTTAAAAGGGGGGATGACACTTATCTCATAGGGGTCTTCGTGAGGATTTATTAGAACAAATGCCATGTATAAACCAGGCGTTCAAGAGATGACCAATAATAACTTGTTGTTATTATTTTTGATACTTAACAGCAGTATCTGGTTAAGATCCCGGAGTCAGCCACATAAAATCTGAAGCTCCTATTGTAAAAAAAAAAAAAAAGAAAGAAAGAAAAAGAAAAAGAAAAGGAAGAAAAGCTAGCTCAAGCCTAATTTTGTGTGATACCATTTACTGACTTCTCATTCAGGGTGGAGTAGAGCAGGGACATTTTTGAATTGTGAAATCATAGCCGAGAGTGACAAACTGTTTATATTTGTAATCTTTCCTTTTCAGGGGGAGTAAAGCTCGGATTAGGAGATTTCATTTTCTACAGTGTTCTGGTCGGAAAAGCTTCCGCCACAGCCAGTGGAGACTGGAACACGACCATAGCCTGTTTCGTAGCCATATTAATTGTAAGTACATACTAATAAAAACATGCCAGAACACCTCCTCGGCTCTGTTCTGGCAGCCCCATTTAACCCCCGCTGGGCTGAGTGTTCCAATCCCCTGGGAGCTTTTTAAAAACAATTAGGCCTCACCTGAATAGTTCTCCAGGGGGCCACACATTAAAATCACCCAAGACCTTTTAAAACTGTGTATCCCCATCCTGAGATACTCTTATTTAATTTGTTTCAATTGTGTATCTTATTTTTAAAGTTCCCCAGGAAATGCTGTAAGTACTTCTGATTAGGAACCATTGCTTCAGGCAGCATAGATATGTTGGAAATTAGCTGTGTCTTTAAAGGGGTGAGTAGATCCTCACTCAGTGCCTGCGTTTGGTGGTGATTTTTGCATTTAATGCCACAACCTGCAGGGTACAGAGTTCCTTTGGGCAGCAGATATGAGGCCAGAAAAGGTAACACAGTGCATGATCTCCTATAGGTCTTACCCATAGAGCCACACCATTAATCCTAAAGCTTCCAGAACTATGATTTAAATAAATAACTCAGAAGATATTTATTACTGCCCCCCCCCTTTTTTTTTATTAAAGATGCTCTTTGTTTCATATGTGAGTGAAGTTACATGACAGCCTTTATATTGCATTTATTTTGTGATTTATAGTGCTAATCTACCCAGTTAGAATTTTCTTGTATTTTATTTCTCTTTTGATATCAATTTTCTGGATGTGTTGCAGCTTTTAAGAAGAAAAGTATTTATTCTGGATAAACCTGAAATGATGCTTAGCCTCCAGAATTTATAGTTAGTGTCTCAATAAATAGAGTAAAAATGGACTATATTATAGGGCTGTTCTATTTCTAAGAGAGCAGCAATATAATTTTCATAAACTTGAGAAAAAAATCCTCACCCAAGGATATGTTTCCTGATTCTGATTTTAGAGAGACAAGGGGGTGGGGGAGAGAAAGAGGGTCATTGGTTAGTTGCCTTCCCCGTGGACCGGGACCAGGGATCAAATCTGCAACCTAGGTATGCGCCCTGACAGGGAATCGAACCCACAACCAATCAAAGCACCTGGCTGGGGCACTTTCATAAACTTTTATCAGCATATTCTGTGTAAATCTTTGCCTCCCTCCAACCCACAGCATAAAAAATACTTTTCATTTCTGGGATTTTAGGCAGCCAAACTTAACTGAGAGTAGCCAACTCAATATTTTAGATAAAATTTTTGGCATTAAATTTTTTCCAAGAATAGTTTTACTTATTTTCAGGTTCTAATTCTTTTTTTAAATATACATTTTATTGATTTTTTTACAGAGAGGAAAGAAGAGGGATAGAGAGTTAGAAACATCCATGAGAGAGAAACATCAATTCAGTTGCCTTCTGCACACTTCCTACTGGGGATGTGCCCGCAAGCAAGGTGCATGCCCTTGACTGGAATCAAACCTGGGACCCTTCAGTCTGCAGGCCGACGCTCTATCCACTGACCCAAACCGGTTAGGGCTTCAGGTTCTGTTCCTTGCCTAGAATTAGGGGATGAAGAATCAAGAATGTGTGCATCATGAATTCTGTGTTGCAGAGGAAAATAAAAGTTGGTTCCGGGTTTAATGGGAACTTTTGTTCTAAAATTTAACCTCAGAGGATTGTCTTTAATTAACTAAATTAAATGGGAGACTTGTGACTGAGTTGTTTTGCACAAAATACTTTCATAATGATGTCTGGGTTTGTGTCTTGGCCCCTCTCCCCCGCAGGGTTTGTGCCTTACATTATTACTCCTCGCCATTTTCAAGAAAGCATTGCCAGCTCTTCCGATCTCGATCACCTTCGGGCTTGTTTTCTACTTTGCCACAGATTATCTTGTGCAGCCCTTTATGGACCAGTTAGCATTCCATCAATTTTATATTTAGCAGATTTGTGATGAGACTTCCATGGATTTTTCTCCTCTAACTATAATAAACTCTGGGAAGGACAACGGTGATTTTCCTGTGTCTACATCTAACAAAGTCACAGTTCCCAGCTGGACTTTTTGCAGCTTCCTTCCACGTCTTCCTGAACACCTGCACTATTGGCCATCGGAAGGAGGTGTCTACAGAAAACGGTTCTGAACATCCGTCGTGGTGGTGGTGGTGGTTGGTGGTGGACGGAGTCCCTTGGAACAAACTACCAGCTTTTAGGGACAAGAACAAAGAAAAGTGATGGGCCAAAAAGCTGCTGGCTCCCTCCCACCAGCAGTTTCAGAGGCGGACTGACCAGCACTGCAGACTCTCAGGACCGCCATGATCACGATGCTAGATGGAGTGGTTAAACCAAACAGGACTCATCATCGGGAACGCGTGTAAGCCTAATCAGTCTGGGTTGAACTCTAAACCTTTTCAGGAGGTACTATGAGGAAGGCAGTACCAGCAGCAAAATGGGAAGGCGAAAAGGGGTTCAAACTTTCACTCTCAAATTTCTTTTGCTACAAACTTAACAGTTTTAAATAAGACTCTTTTTTCACCTGGAGTCAAGTCAGATGTATGCGTTGATTTGAACGGTTTTTGTTCTCACGCACTGACACTCATTACCATCGATGGTTGCCATTTCCTCCCAAGGCCAGTATGAATTTATGTGAGGTTGCTTTATCTTAAAAGTGTTAACCTCGGGTTCCAAGTTCAGTAATTTCTGGAAATAACGGAACTATAACAATGATTCTCTGACACCCTTAGGTAATTCTGGTTTTGCCTCAAATCCCTAATTTTTAGACAGACTTGTAGGTTTGCTTGTCCCTCGATGCCTTCTTTGTTCCCCATCTCTCCCTCCACTCCCCCCATACACGTTCTTTCATAAGACAGCTCTGTGGTGGAAGCAGACCATCCCGTTATCTAGGCTTTTCCTCTGTGTGGAGCACAGAACGTGTTATGGATCAGTGCTCTCAGCCTCGCTGTCATAGTTTCCTCAGTAGCAGATACAATGTGCGCCCAAAGACCGTAGCATTAAAGAAGAGTAAATGGCTGGTGAAGCACTTTCTGTCCTGGTTTTCTTTTTTTTTTTTTTTTTTAGTACAACTGAGTGTCTCTGACAGTAGGTCAGAGTTCAGACCAATAGCCAGGAGCTGGTGGTTTGTAAAGTCAGGGATCAGGTGTGTCTGTGCCAAGCAGGAGTTGGGAGAAAGCCAGTATCGCCCTTGGTGAGCCAGCGGGTCAGGCGGAGAGCCCAGTGCCAACAGAACAAAGGGGCCTCCAACAGCCATTGGCACCAGGGGAGCTCGTGTCCCGCGGGCAGATGCGAAGATCCACGTTACTCCTCTGGAACCTGTCAGTGGCGCTTGGTGGTTTCCCTTCTGCCTTGCCTTGCAGCTCAGGGTACCTTCGTATGAACTGGGCGGTGTGGCCAGGCCAGGCCGTTCAGCTGGACATGCACATAAACAGCCATCACCTGTGGGCACAGGCCCCTCTCACTGAAGCTGTGCCAGGGCACAACCTTCTGTCCCCGCCATTAGTAATCAGTTCCCATCGGGCGGGAGAAAGGCCTGCATTTCCTCGTCCTGCCGCGCGCTCTCAGCCTGTCGTACAGCCGGGTCTGGGGCTGGTTCCCCTCGGAGGTTAGGGTGTTTGCTTCCCGTCATGGAATATCTCTTAGAAACTGCCTCAAGGAGCAGCGTGCTGGTCCTAACCTGAGTGCAAGTGAAAACTGGCTCAGACTGGGCAGCTGAGAACTGCGGGGAAGCAGCTGTGCAAAGAAAGCAGGCTGAGCGTAGCAGGAGCTCCGGCATCCATTTTTGTTTGTTTAGCCCCTTTTTCCCAAGATTCTCTTTTTCTCCTCAGACATGTGGCAGTGTCGTGGGTACTCCAGAAAGACACGGCATTCAGCCGCTACAGCACAGTCCCCAGTCTGATTCGAAACTGCCTCGAAGGAGCCCCATATGGAGAAGTTTATCTGTGCGAGGGTTCTCTCAGAAGAGGGGGGGGGGGGTGCGTGTGCGTGTGCGTGTGTTTAGATCCACCCTGTGTGTTACTGTCCCGTGTAGAAAGATGGCACTAAATCTGTCACTTTCTACAAGATGGAACCACATCCCACCACAGAGAAAGCACACTGTATTCTTTAAATCACCAATCTCAGAGGCAGAACTTTGTTTTCAAATCTTTTTAGAATCAATTCAGTCATTTCTGAAATATCAAAATGCTAGTCTTCCACTGGGAAATATCAGTTGTCACTGAAGAGAACAGTAGCAAGTCCACTGGGGCCGGGCCACACAAACCAGAAAGCATGGCCAGCCGAGCCAGCCCACTCCATAAGAGGGAGGAGAACGGTAGGAAAAAGTGGCCGCTACCGTCTGGGTCTGGCTGGCCGGCAGAATGAAGGTTTTGTAATATAGCATGGTGCTACAGAAGTACCGACCTATGGAAGTACCGACCACATTTGGAAGATTTTTAGTTTTTTCCAAGAGGAAGGGCTCACTTTCCTGTTTTTGGTTCTTGGTAGGTTAGTGTCTCAGCTCTCCGTATAAATGACTAAATTTCTTGATCAGAAAAAAAAATAGAAGCTTTCTGAGCTCCTAAAAACTTTCATAAGTGAGCAAATTACTGATTTCACTATGGAAGCAATAGTCGTCTTGTTCACAATCTATAGAATGTGAGACAGATGTCAAGCTACCTCCAGGGCCAGGCGTCTCGAGGAAGCCCCTGGCCCTGTGCCCAGCGCCCAGCCTCACATAGTCCCCGTTTGTGAGCTAGCCCTGGGAGGAAAAGTTCAGATACTGCTATGAAAAGATTTGTTCAACCTCTTCCATGGTGCTGGAGTCTAAAGATGCAACAATGAGTAAGATCTGTCTTCAGGGGGTTGAGCGTCTACCTGTGAACAGGAGGTCACAGTTCAGTTCAATCCCGTGTTGCAGGTTCGATCCTCAGTAGGTGCTGTGCAAGAGGCAGCCAATCAATGATTCTCTCTCTGAAACCAATAAAAAAAAATTAAAAAAAAAGATCTATCCTCAGAAGGCAGCTGTAGTCTCTTGTTTTCTGGTATATGCCATCTTTTTTTTTTTTTTAATTAAAACAATATATATATATTTTATTGATTTTTCACAGAGAGGAAGGGAGAGAGATAGCTAGAAACGTCAATGAGAGAGAAACATCGACCAGCTGCCTCTTGCACACCCCCTACTGGAGATGTGCCCGCAACCAACATACATGCCCCTGACCGGAATCGAACCTGGGACCTTTCAGTCCACAGACTGACGCTCTACCACTGAGCCAAACCGGTTTCAGCCTATGCCATCTTAATGTCTCTAAAATATCAGGTACTGGTCATTAACGCCTTTCACAGTTGATGTTATTTGAGCTCTTATATAATATTGATGTTACAAAGGTGACTTGATTTTCCCAGAAATGCATCCTTTCAGTAAAGTTCTTGTTTTTCTCCAAACTTGCTTTTGGATAGTCTGTAAGCCATTCTCCTCACCTCCACAAGTGTCCTGAACGTTAGAGTTTGGAAAGAGACTTGAAAACTGGACATTTGGTTTTGCCCTGGATGAAACAGTGTCACCATCATAAGTGTGAGCCCAGAACTGATCTTGTGATTTCTCCAGTGTTTAAAGTCCCCAAAACACAGAAGAGGAGCGACTGTTTCAGCTTTCCCAGCCCTCGTTGAAACCGTACCAACAAGGCTGCCAACGTGCTCGGGTCCCGTCATCTGAATCCATCCATCCTCCCCTCCGCCGGGAAGCACCACAGATCGGTGTATTAAAAACCAGCCTGGAGCTAAATCGAGCCCCTTCCTTGAAGGCAGAGCTTTCCCAGGGCCTCAGGCAGCTGCAGTGTCGCCCCGAGGAAGTAGCTGGATCCCCCAGGGCCCTGGAGTGTGGTGTTCGCCCTGCCGTCTGCAGCGAGGATTTGCCAGAAAGCAGTTTTCCTTTTAAAGTAAATAATTGTAACAGGGCAGCTTCAAACTCGGCTGTCTGGAGGAGCAAACCCAGGCCTGCTCTGCTTCCTGTGTGATCGGCGGGGCTGGGATGCGGGTTCAGTGGGTCCTTTACTCTCACGTGTTCACAGTCCGGCTTTTCCTCCTGCAGACACTGCTCTGTACGTGCATCAGACTGAATGCATCTCTTTAAAATGCCTTTCAAATTCTTGGTAAGAGAGGTGGTTGTTTTGATAGATGGTTGCAGATTTTCCTGTGTTTGTCAAAGGAATAAAGGCTGCATGGATCCAGTTGTGCGAGTTTTCTTACGTGAAAGTAGTGTAACGGGTAAGCGTGAGAGACGCTGAGCGATGATCAGGAAACGGTTTGAAACGCACAGGCATTGCTTCTGTCCTCCACGCGGAGCACAGAGGAGTGGGTCATAGCAGGCCGCACCTCTGAAGGATGCAATGTGGAGCCTATGAGAAGTCTCAACATAATTACTCTTAATACTGTTTCTGAAAAGGTATTTTAAAAAAAAATAACGTTTAACTCAATTTCACGTAAAAACTGTCCAAACAAGAATTTGCAGGACATGTTAGTGGTGACAGTATATTGCAATTACTTCATGTGCCAGAGGATTATCTTTCAAAAATCATAGAGCTGCCAAAACCGGTTTGGCTCAGTGGATAGAGCGTCGGCCTGCGGACTGAAGGGTCCCGGGTTCAATTCCGGTCAAGGGCAGGCACATCTCCAGTAGGAGGTGTGCAAGAGGCAGCTGATGATTCTCATCGATAGTTCTAACTCTCCCTCTCTGTAAAGAATCAATAAAATATATTTAAAAATAATAATAAATAAAAGTTACATTAAAAAAAAAATCATAGAGTTACTCATCAGTAGAAAATCATCATTATCCCCAAACTGCTGTTTCTATACAGAACGTGGGGATTTACTGATCAGAATCAAGTTTGTGGCAGAAGAAAGCAGAGCCGACCTTTGCCCTCAGAAGGAGGGTGTAAGCGAGGACTGTCCCTGCGGAAGTGGCTCAGGGCATCGAAACAGGAAAGGCGCCCTTTCCTCCGGGGTCAGGCGTCATTGCTTTTATGAGTCTCGAAGGCAGTGTCCCTCGGGTCCCACGGGCATGATGGCTTGTCCTCACCGCTGGGCGAGGTTTCTGATGTCTGGGGCCTTGCATGGTGCTCTTGGTGAGAGAAGGACGCAGGGTTGAGGGGCAAGAGTAACGGGGCCGAGTTTTCTGCATCACTAGGTAAGTAAGCCAGTTTCGTGTAGCCCAACTATTTTCTCTGGGGCCAAAATAGGATCTGGTTAAAGGTGAAATGGCAACGTCCTTGAGAATAAGCCACACAATGTTCACTCATTGAATTTTTTAAAACATTTTTTAATTGATTTCAGAGAGGAAGGGAGAAGGACAGAGAAAAACACCAATGATGGGTGAGAACCATTGATTGGCTGCCTCCTGCACACCCTTTCCCGGGGATTGAGCCCTAAACCTGGGCATGTGCCCCGACCTGGAATGGAACCGCAACCCCTGGTTCGTAGGTCTACCACAGCGGCCGGGCCTGCACCGAGTTTGAATGGGAATGCAGGGTAAGAGATCCACAAGAGACAGGGCAAAGGTAGAGTTTCTCCAAAACAAAGTTTGAGCCAAATTTGGGAAGAAGGGGAGAATCTGAAATGGCAAAAAGGCAACATACACTAAAATCAGGAAGGAAGAAACACGCGGGAGGTAGCCAAGGATCATTGGTGTTCGAGTTAAGATGGCTTATTCAGAGGAAAACTCAATTAGCAAGCCGAATCCGTTTCTACATGACTTGTAGAAACCATGGAGGACTGGTGACCGAACCCACCACAGGGATGCCATGCCTGATCCTCTCTCTGGGCTGGCACTTCTGTGCCTGGCATGCCGTGCCCTCCGAAGGGGAAGAGCCTCAGGAGCCAGGCTTGTGGGAGACCTAGCTCTTGGGAGAAGGGGGTGACACACCCTTGACCGCTCTGTTCATCTGTTGTTTTCTTTCTAAACTTGCTTTAATTATGTAGCAACTCAGGATCAATTCCTCATGCAGAAGAGGGACGGAGTCTGTTCTCCTTTGACCCACAGCATTCCTCGAGGTGGACTGCAGGGAAGATCTTGACTGGTTCATTTTCTGGGGGAGCAGACCTAGTCCAGAGCCACTAAAGGCAAAGGCACGTGTACAAGGGGGTTTAGAAGTGGGAACAACTGGGAGCCGGTGAGCACAGCGACACGACACCAAGCACATGGCGGTCCGTCGTTCGTGATGGCGTGCGTCCCCTCCAGACGCAGCTGTCCTAGTGACGGCCACGACTCTCCAGCACCTGCCAAAGAGCAGGAGAGGTTGGGGGCTTTCTCCTGACATGATCATGGGTCTTCCTGTTTCCTAATTGGATTCTGCCATGTCTGCTACAAAACAGCACAGCATTTTTTTTTAAAAAAATATATTTCATTGATTTTTTTTACAGGGAGAGGGATAGAGAGCTAGAAACGTCGATGAGAGAGAAACATCGACCAGCTGCCTCCTGCACACCCCATACCGGGGATGTGCCTGCAACCAATATACATGCCCTTGACCGGAATCGAACCCGGGACCTTTCAGTCCGCAGACCGACGCTCTACCACTGAGCCAAACCGGCTTCGGCCAGCACAGCATTTAATTGTTCAGGGCGATGGCAGGGTTTTAACTTGCCTGGGCCAGGTAGATGTGAACGTGTGATTTCTTCGACTTTTTTGAAATGTTGGAAATGACCTTTGCACCATCCTGCCTGAGACTCCTGACACCCCCCCCGCATCCCCATCTCCAACCCCCCAGTTCAGAGCACAGGTCTGGAGTAATCCAGGCAGAAGGCCACCCTGTTTGGAAGCATCATCAGGTTGAAGACTGTACCATCCCAGTGTGAGGGGAGGGTTTTCTTTCCTAGGAAACCTGCAGGGGCCTGGGGTGCAGTCTGCGGACACTGTGAGGGGAGGGCCGGAAGAGCTGGGCCTGGCGCTCAGGTCCCCCCAGTGGCATTCAGAAGTGAGTTCCCGGATGTGCAAGGGCCTTCAGCCCTGCTGGGCCTCCATGGTGACGCCAGCCTGCCTGGCAGTCCAGGTGCCATCGATGGCACAGCCTGTCTGACTCTGAGGTGATGTAGCCAGCCAGAGCACCCGTTGTGTCACCGGGCCCATGGCAGTGACCCCGAGACAGGGAGGGTAGGAGCTGGGTCCTCCGCCCTGTGCACATGGAGCAGGTCACCCTCCGGGGACTTCCCAACCGGCAGGGCTCGGAATTCCCTTCCCCCTCGGGCGCCCTAGATAAATCCGCGAGGTAAGTCCCAGACTTGTTGCCAGTGGTTATGCAGCCTTTTGTCATTAAAGACATCACTGACCAAGGCACTCCGAGCATTTGGTCATTGCTGCATGAACGGCTTTTTGTTTCTAAGTCACATGCACTGGCAGACAGTTTTGTGATCTGACCCAGAGAGCCCCCATCCCGGCGCGAGTTCACCCCGACCAGGTCTGGGGGCCGCCACCCAGCCCCTGTGCCAGGCCCTGCTGGCATGGCCCTGGCAGGCGCTGCTCTGGGTCCCCTCCCCACCAGCCCTGGCCGCTCGGGAGGCTCTGCCTGTCTCTCCCTGGCAGCACTCCATCCTGCCGGTGGGGCAGGCGGAAGGAAGGCGAGGCCTGGAGTGCCCCCCCCGCCCCCCCCCGCCCCGGCCCGGCCCGGCCCGGCCCCTGCTCCCGAGGCTGGAAACAAGTTTGGCCCCATCTCCCCACTGGGAAAGGGGCCAACCCAGCTGCTTCCCACAGCCCCTCCCTGACTCACCCCAG